TTGAGGTCAAGAACCCCTCATCTCGTTCTAGTCTGAGAAGTCACTACATGTGACGGGCGGTTTGTAACTGAGGCATTGTATATAGGTAAAACTGAGAACTTCAGTTATTACTTCTTTGACATATTCTTTTCTCTAATTAAATTTCTTTTTCTCTCTTTTTTTCAGAAAAAAAACCAAATTTTTGGAAATTTAATTTTCTTAAATAAAAAAAAAATGCGAGTAATTTTTTTGAATTTTGTTTCTCCTCACAGAAAAAACTTGGACTCATTTTTGTTGCAACTCATTTTCTTTTGGGTATCGAAATGAGTATGGGACAAACTTCATGTTATTCAAAATGATATTGGCTGGAATTTCAGATTTCTAAGTTGGCATCATAAGCAGAGTAATTTTGTATTTCAATTATTGTTTCTAATATTTCAACAACACCAGAAAGATTATTTTGACCAGTACGAATATTTAGAAGTTTTTAAATAAAAATTATTTATTATTATTTACGTAGATAATAATTAATTTCATAAGTTTTTAAATTTACCGCTATTATTTAAGTTGGCAGTACCGTTCCTGTTGTCAAAACACATGTTTTCATTTTTCTAACCTAAAAACATATTTCCTTTATTATTTTATTACGCGATTACAAGCAATTTTTAATCAAATATATTAAGTCTAGCGTGTTATTTACTTCTTTGTAATTATTATATTTCATGTTTTTGTGCAAAATTATTCGTTATTTCACAATATTTTTCCATTTTTCTTTTTCTCAAAATGAAACTTGCCTGTTTCATTTTGATACTTTTACCTTAGAACTCGAAATGAAACAACCAGTTTCATTTTTGTTGCGAATCAAATTGAGTATAGAATCTATACTCAATTTGAATTCAGGTTTTTTCTGTGCTTCCAAATTCTATGCTGAAATGCAAATAAACAAAATATTTTTTATCAACTTTCGTTTAATTATTTTTTTATTCGCATATCGAAGTAATAATAATTTTATTGATAGACTTTCTTGTGTTAGAAACTGATAGGTATCTCTCGTCGGCTTGACCGTTCGTTAAGCAGCTGTTATTCTTGAATCCTTTCAAGAGAGAAAAAGCAGAGGCCCTCCTTGAAATACATATATATATATATATATTCTATTGTGCCTTTTGATTACTGGAAGTCTGTTACTTGAAGCAAAAAGATTTCCATCTCAGTTGTTTGTGGTTTTGTATATAAGAGAAAAGTTGATTCTGTTTTTATTGAATTTAGACTCTTTTGAACAGTTTTATTCGAAAATTTCAAATAATGATCATAAGTATAACCTATTATCGTGTTTTATATGCGAGTTAAGAGTAAAATTTAGCGATTATTTTATTTTATTCTCAAAAAAAAAAGAAAAATTAACATTGCTGCTGGAAAAATTAGACAAAAACAATATAGTTTATCTCTGTATTTTTTTACTTTTGAATAAAAAAATACAATTTAAACTTTAAAAAATTTTGATTCATGTACAATTTAATTTTTAACATTTGGAGTCATTAAAAGTTGCACTTTAATAAAAATGATAAAAATTAAAATTTCTTGTTAATAATTGGAAACGATTTCGGCAACATAACCTAAAATTTAAAAACGGCACACTGAAAAAAAGAAATGTGATTTTACATGCTGTGTATGCGAGGAAAAAAACCTATTCTGTGTATGTCATTTTTACACAAATTTTGTAATTTTACTTTGTGCAGAACGGTAAAATTACAGAATAATATTGTAAAATTACGCTACTGAGAAAAGTAACTTTACATAAAAGTTTAAATTCACAATGATCTGTAAAATTACATGTTCTGTATGCGAGGAAAAAAATCATAGCCCAGCAGAGTGAATTCACATTCGGGTTGAAATTTAACAGTGCTATTGTAAAATCGCTCTTCACAGTACAGTGAATTTACAGCATCTTATGTTTCTAACCTCAAAATCATAAATATTGTCATGCTGAGTGCAGTAAAATCACATAATCTTGTAAAATAATTTTTACAGAACCGTGTAATTATACTGTTCGAACAGTTAAATTCAGAACTTTTTTTTACAGTACACTGAATGTGAAAATGATAAACATTTATTTTAAAATACTTTTTTCTTGAATCACGGACTCTTTTTAAAAAAATCGGACAAAATACCAAAGATCCTTATCTTATAAATTTCTTAAATCCGAAAAATTGTGCGAATCCATACAAAAACGCGATTGCAAAACGAAAAGTAGGAAAGTAATATAATAACAGACTGGGACTTTGTGTTTGTGCTCCCTGCATGCTTCTGCCATCTGACGGCGACAGGACGTAATGAACCTGTCATTATATTACTTTTCTAATCTTTTCGTTTTGCAATCGCGTTTTTGTATGAATTCGCATAATTTTTCGGATTTAGGAAATTTATGAGATAAAGATCTTTGGTATTTTGTCCGATTTTTTAAAAAGAGTCCGTAATTCAAGAAAAAAGTATTTTAAAATAAATGTTTATCATTTTCACATTTTGTGCCTTTTTTATAGGGCGATAATTAAAGGTCTCTTCTCGCCAAAAAATTTCCGAGACCGTTCGACACTTTTAAATTACATTTTATTGGAATTTATTAAATATTTAGTTATGAAATAAATTTCAAATAAAAGATTCGGGTTTAAATTTTTAATAATGTGTTTAAAATTCAACAACACTTTAATAAGAGTTTATAATAATAATTTTAAAATGTATGATATGAAAACAGTGAACGACACCGTTTAATGAAATAAAAAAAATTTAAACTACTATTTAAGTAACATGATATTTATTAATATTATCACAAATTTTATCATTCAGATTTAATGTAGAAAAAAAGTTGTTTTTAAAATATAATTATTCAACAATTTCTTTATATTTATAAAATTTGTAATCAATAAAGCAAAATTTTTGAGGTTAGTTTTCAAAAAAGCATAAAATATTAAGAAAAATATATAAATACAATAAAATTTTGTGTCAACTGTTTATTCTTAATATTGTATATTAATTAATTTATATTTGAAAATTTAATTTAATATTATTATTTCAATAGTTATTTTGGTTTTTAACAGCAGGTGTCGTTCATCGTCATGATGTCGATATAATGGCGCACTCACACCTTTTTGGCTGCCTGCCTGCAGGTTACCATGGCAACGCACGGGTGTGAGTGAGACAGAAAATTTGAATATTCAAATTTTCTGTCGCACTCACTCTCAAGCGTTGCCATGGTAATCTGCAGGAAGCCAAAAAGATGTGAGAGCGCCTTAACTGTACCTTTTATCCTATAATTGTTTTTTGACACCTGCTATTAAAAACGATAATAACTATAAAAATAATAATATTGAATTAAATGTCACTAGTAAATTAATTAATATACAATATTTAAAACCTGATACAGTTGACACAAAATTTTATATTTTTATATTTTCATCAATATTTCACTTTCTAGAAAACTAACCTCAAAAAATTTGCTTTATTGATTACAAATTTCATAAATATAAAGAAATTGTTAAATAATTATATTTTAAAAGCAACTTTTTTCTACATTAAATCTAAATGATAAAATTTGTGATAATATTAATAAATATCATGTTACTTAAATAGTAGTTTAAATTTTTTTATTTTATTAAACGGTGTCGTTCACTGTTTTCATACCATATATTTTTAAATTACTATTATAAACTCTTATCAAAGTGTTTTTTAATTTTAAACTGAAGGTCCGATTTTTCTTCAAAAAAATATTTTATTGAGTTATCATATATAAATCAAATTGTGAATCAATAAATTAAGAGTTAAAATACATTTCTCTGGAATTCACTTTCTTTATTGAAATTATAAATAATTTTTCGCCATAGACTTTTAATTAAAAATAGAATAAATATTTAATAATTACTTTAATTTCTACATATATAAATTATACAGTCATGTATTATATATACATTATTATTATTATTATTATTATTATTATTATATTACAATGCTGAAGTACACAACGTTTATGATCAACGATTTCTAAAGAAATATTTTTTTCAATAAAAAATTCTATGAATTTTCGACTAAAAAGATATTTCTTTCAATGTTTATTTATCAAAAAATTATTTAAAAAAGAACATTTTTTGAAATACAAAATTTTATAATTTTCCGCCTTAGAAAATAATTAATTTTCTAATCATAAACCTTGTCGACTTCAACATTGTCTATTATTATTATTATTATTATTATTATTATTATTATTATTATTATTATAAAAAATAGTAGGGGGGCATTAACATAATTAGCTGGAATTTTTATTTTCAAGAATTTTATTAGATATAATTATTTTTTTAATGAATTTTTAATTTTTGAATTATCATTCACCAAAATTTCTTTTTATCCAAATTTTTATTTAAAAAATTCTCATTTAACCGGATATTAATTTAGCATAATTCTCATTGAACAGAATTTTTAATAACTCGAATTTTTAAATGCCAGAATTTCTAATTTACCGAATTTGCATTTGTTCGAATTTTTAATTGCACAAATTATTTATTTTTTAAAAAATCCATCAAATAAAAATTTGTACAAAAAAAAAAAAAAATTCAAAAAATAAAGATTCGGTGAATTGGAAATTCTGAGTTTTAAAAATTCGAATTACTTAAAATTTTCTTGATGGAGAATTATGCTGAATTAAAATTCCATTATATTAAAATTATTTGAAATAAAAAGTTCTATAAAAAGAAATTCTGTGAAATAAAAATTCGATACTTATTAAAAATTCTGTAAAGTATATAAATAAAAAGAAATTCTTTCAAATGCCAATTTGAAAAATGAATATTTGTCTAAAAAAAATAATATCTAATAAAATTCTTGAATATGAAATTTTTAATTACATTTATGGAATAATCATGCGCTTCAAAATTGTATTTTATTAAAATTTAATTTTGTTTCATTAATTTTAATAATAATTCAATGAATTTTTTTTAATGATTTAAAAATGCAATTTCTTTTTTTTTTTTTTGCAGAATCCAATGACAATGTTAAACGACACGACCAGAAAGAAAGATTTGCCAACAGGAACTTCTTTTCAATTTGGTCAAGAGAGGGAAGCTTGTATGAAACTTTTTGAAAGATGGAGTGAACCAGAACAAGTGCACTTTGTGGAGCAACTTTTAGCGAGAATGTGTCACTATCAACATGGTCACATAAACGCATACTTGAAACCAATGTTGCAACGAGACTTCATATCCCTCTTGCCAAGTATTATAATAATATTAATTTTTAATTTTTTTTTTTTTTCACTTCAAGTTGAAATATTTTATTTTTATTCAAGGAAATAATTATTATTGAAAAAAAAAATTTTTTTCTTTTTTTTCCAGAGAAAGGATTAGATCATGTAGCTGAAAGCATTCTTTCTTACCTAGACGCCGATTCACTATGTGCCGCAGAACTTGTTTGCAAAGAATGGTTTAGAGTCATTAGTGAAGGAATGCTCTGGAAAAAATTAATAGAACGCAAAGTTCGGACAGACTCTGTTTGGCGAGGACTCGCCGAAAGGAGAGGATGGTTAATAATTTATTAAAATTTATTTAATTTTAATTGTTATATATATATTTGATGCCGTGCTAGTGAAGAAAATGGGTATATCTGCAGGTAGAAACAATTTTTTTCCTCCGCTAAACAGTTGCATTAAGAGGAATTATTAAAAAAAAAAAAAAATCATATCCTCTTAATGTTAAGAAATTTTTGGTATTCTATTTTCCTTTTTTTTTAACAAAACAGATATTTTTAAGATGAGGAAGGGAATTTTAAACCACCGTCAACCGGGATAATTATACCCACAAAAAAGCTATATTTTACGATTTTAAAACGGAAATCGTTGTTCATATGAACTTTTCTAAAATTTGCATATTTTACCAAATAAACGAAAAAAAATGTCAAATTTGAGAACTTTTTTTTTAACATAAAAATCAAATTTGTGGGTATTGTCACTATGATTTTCATAATCAGCGCATCAAAATACATAAATGCATACAGTATTTAAAAAAAAAACCCCGAAGGTATTTTTTTAAATTTTTTTTATTTTTAAAAAATTTGTAATATTGAGAATTTTGAAAAAATCATTTGGCTACTACCAAATTGCTACTTACAGTTTTTAAAAGTAAAATTTTAATTTTTAAATATTGCAAAAAATATAGTAAATTATTTTTCCAGAATTTTTTGCACCGAATTTTTGAAAAAGTTCACATAAAAACACACAATTAAAAAAAAATTTAATTAATTCATTTTTAAGGAATTTATGAGCAATCATAAATAAAAAAATCATTAAAATTTTGAAAAATTCATATCTGGTAAATAAATTGCTAAAAATAAAATTGAAAAAAAAATCATGAAAGCTAGTCTCAATTATTACTAAAAGAAAAACAAATTTTTTAAAAATGGTTTCTGATTTGGTGTGGAATACATCATAAATATTAAGGGAAAATATTACAATCTTAATTTTTGACCATATTAGAATTAATATTTGAAAAAAAATTATTTTTTTTTGAAAATTCATATAAGAAATTCTAAGGAATTATTAAAAAAAAACTTGTAAAAAAATTAGCGATGAAAAAATAGTTAAAATTGTAAAAGTAATTGAATATTTAAAAGGAAAGTTTAATAAAATTTCAATTTATTTTTTTCTTTCTAGTTTTAAAAATTTCAAATTTTTGAAATTCCATACGAGAGATTCTAAAAAAATCATTAAAAAAAAAATTAGCGATGAAAAATAGTCAAAATTGTGACAGTAGTTCAATTTTTGAAAAATCTTAATCATTTTAAGACAATATAATATTAAAATATTCACAAATTAAGATTTTCATATTTTCATCACCTTGTATGTTTTAAGGAACCAAATGATGCAATAAAAAAAAATATAACATCGTGCAATCATTAAAATTTTAAGGGGTAAAAATAAATTTGATATATTTTAATTTAATTTAATTAAATATTTTAATATAAAAATTTTATTTATTAAAAATTGTCGATGAATATAAATAGCTCCTGAAATCGTATAATTATCATGGTTGACGGTAGAAAAAAAATTTTGATTTTTCCTCAAATAGTTGCAGTAAGAGGAATCATTAAAAAATGGTCATATGCTCTTAAAATTGAGAAATTTTTTTTCTAGGCTATTTTTAAGATGAGGAATTAGCAAAATTTTAAACTATCAAATATTATAGTGTGGATTTTTTTTTTTTAATTAAAAATTTAGAAATTGCTAACTTTTTTTCTCGGATTCTTTAGAGTGTAAAATTATTTTATACTTACACTCTAAGTTCGGAAACTTAAACTCTTGTTATAGCGACCGCGAAAGGTGATCCCACCACAAGATTTGTTTTATTAAACGTCAAACTTTTAACTTAGGAGATAATTATTATGCAAATAATAGTGCAGCAAAATTTTATTGTTTCAATTTAACTTTTTTTTTTAAATAGTTTTTTTTATTTTGTGGTTGAACATTATAGTAATTATTATAATTATAATAATTATTATTTTTTATAAGAATAATAATAATTATTATAATAATATATAACAAACTTTTTGAGTAGGAAAGAAAAATTACGGCAGTAAAGCAAATTCTCGTTATATCAAAATTCGAGTGTATTAAAATTAAAAAAAAAAAAAAATTATTTTTGACCATTTTAAAATTTTTGTTTTTTGAAAAAATGACAATTTTTTTTTAAATCTACAAGATTATTTGTTTGCAAGTATGAAAAAACTATTTTAAAAAATTGTCGCTAGAAAATAATAATTATCACAAAAGTTGAATTTCAAACAAAAATCCGTATTCAAAATTTACTCTTTTTTTTTTACAGTTGTGTCAATTATTTTTTTGCTGTCATTCTTTAGAATCTAACAGTATATTTTATTATGAAAAAATTTATGAAAAATAATTTTCCAGATATTTGATTAGCTTTTCCTTAAAAAAAAAAAGAAAAAAAAATTTCAGATATCCATTTTTTTAACAGGTTGGCATTTTAGACTTTTAGAATACATTCAGGGTGGCGAGCAACCGAGAAAACTGATAATAGAAAGGGAATTTCAAAAATCTGTAAAACTCAGTGAAAATTTAGGGATTTTTCACATTAATGCTTTGAATATTGTTGAAAACTACGAATTAAAAAAAAAAAACGTTGTTTCTACCTAAATATTTTTTGAATTTTTTTTTTTTATTTTTAATCTAAAATAAATTGTTATTTAGAATAATGATAATCAAAAATACTTTCTCTACGGAGGAAGCAATATAAAATCTTGTTAAAATTATAATTTTATAATTTTTTTCTAGTTTATATTACTAAATATTTGTAAAAAAAAAAGAAGGGAATTTTTCCTTTTCGTTTAGAGAAAAGACAGGGAATTTCGGAAACTATTTATGCTCGCTACCCTGACTTTAACCATTTGAGGACCAAATTTTTTTTTTTTAAATTACGATTTTTGATTTTTAAACAAGTTTTTCAACGAAACCAGTTAAGCTTGTCTAACAACAAGAGTTTGGAAATTTATCAGACTAAATGAAAAATATTGGTCCAATATTCAGTTTTAAAAATCAATGAGAACAAAAAAAAAATGTTCATGTTGCCTGAAAGCAACACTTGTCCTCAAAGGGGGTTAAAAATCTTAGAAATTACACCTCCATGAAGTTGACGTCGAAAAATAATTTTTCACTGGGACCAAAAATATGAAATCATTTTTAAAAAGGGTTTTGGGTCCACATAATACTTTGAAAAGTATTTCTCAAGGCATTATTTGTACCGAAAATTTTTCTAAAAAAAATAATTTGACATTTTTGGTCCTGTGAAAAACAATTTTCGACGCTAAACGTCGACGCCAATTTCATGGAGGTGAAATTATACTTTTCTCAAATTTTATATTGAATGTAATAATTAACAAGTTCCTTTTTTTTCTCTTTTTACAGGATACAATATTTATTTAAGCCACGACCAGGAGAAAGCCATCCAAACCATGCTTTTTATAGAAATCTTTTTCCAAAAATTGTCAAAGATATAGATAGCATAGATAATAATTGGAGAATGGGACGTCACAATCTTCAGCGAATAAACTGCCGTAGTGAAAATTCCAAGGGAGTATATTGTTTGCAATATGATGATCAGAAAATTGTTTCTGGTCTTAGGGACAATACAATAAAAATTTGGGATAGAAATACATTACAGTGCATTAAGGTTCTCACTGGACATACGGGCTCTGTTTTGTGTCTACAATATGATGACAAAGCCATTATTTCTGGCTCCTCAGATAGTACCGTTAGAGTTTGGGACGCCAACACTGGTGAAATGGTCAATACACTCATTCATCATTGCGAGGCTGTTTTGCATCTAAGATTTAACAATGGAATGATGGTCACGTGTTCGAAGGTTTGATGATTTTTTCTTTTTTTTTTCTTTTAATAATAATTATATACATTTTTTTCTTGACATGAGTCAAGGAATTAGCGTTGACCGATATAAGTTTGAAACAAAAGAGACGTGATTTTTTCATTTTTTTTTTTTTTTTTTTTTTTAAATTGAAATTGCTTTTTAAGGAGAAATGTGCTGCAAATTGAAGTCAAGCGAGCTTTTACAAAAAAATATTTTTAAACAAATTTATAAAATCAAAATAATTTTTAATGTATATTTACGTTACTACGAGTTACAAATGCAAAGAATTTAGGATAAATATCGTAAAATTAATGAGATATTGGCAAAAGAAAATTGTGACTCAGAAAAACTTATTTAAAACTTTTGTGTAGCAATTTTTAATTGATTGCAAATAAATTTATTACAAAAAATTTTTTTTTCTGGTATACTTTTAAGAAATTTCAGAGTAAATAAATATTTTTTTTTTATGTTTAGAGGCAGCATTATTTCGAAATCTTCTTTTTTTTTTTTAATTTTTTGTTATTTAATTTTCTAAAATGTATTAAAATTATAAATCTTCATTAATATTTTTTCCCAATTAATAATAAATTATAATTTTAAAAAAATTTTAAATACTAAATATTATCAAGAAAAAAATTGATACCCCTAAACAACATTAATTTTGTTGAGTCGAAATTTCCGCCGGTCCCTCCCTTTAATAGACACCAGAAATAAATATAAAAAAATGACAAAAAAAGCTACTGGAATTTTTTTCATTAAATTGTAAAAAAAATTGAAGAATTTGGACTTGCTTCATAAAGTCTCATATAAATTTTTTTCGCGTTTTTAATTTAATAGAAAATGTTATGAAAGACCTAACGATGTTGTTTTTTTTGTAGAATTTCATAAAAAAAAAATTCTCTCGATCTATTGGCGAATATTTTTTTTTCGCAATTATTAAAAATCAAAAATTTTGTATTATATAATTTTTTTTTTAAACAAAAATTTACTTAGAATAACATAACGTAACTGCAATAGAAAAATCTAAAAAATTGAAATTATGCATAAAAAGTGACTTTTCTCAAAACCGATGTGATCTATTTAAAATTTTATTTTTTTAATCCAGTCTGTGATAAATAAGGAACATTTTCTCGTTTATGCGAAAATTGTATTTTTGCAGTTAAAATACTATTTACAATTTTTTAATACTACTCATAAATTTTCAAACATTTATTTTCTGAATTATAACCTTTTCCCCTTATCATTCATTTGTTTTTGTATTATTTTCTGAAATACATAATGTAAATATTTGCATCTAGCATAAAAATTGTAAATAGTATTTTAATGGAAAAAAACACTATTTTTGCATAAACGGGAAAATGCTTCTTATTTATCAGAGACTGGGTTAAAAAAAAATGTTCAAAAATCGATTTTGAGGAACGTCACTTTTTAGAATTAATTTCAATTTTTGATTTTTCCGTTCTGGTTACGTTATTTTTTACTATACATTTAAAATATCGAAAAAAAAAAATTCCAGTAAAAAAAAATTGAATGAAATGCTCCGTATGAGGATGAAAAATGTTTATGAATAATAATCACAAAGGGACACATAAATTACCCAAAAAAATCATTAATTAGAATTTTTATTTCAAAGTATTTTATTAGAAATAATTATTTTTTAGACTAATTTTTAATTTACAAATTAAAATTTGACAGATTTTTTTTATACGAATTTGTTACAAAAAAAAAAAAAAAAATGTTTAAATACCGAATTTTTGTTTGGCAGAATTTTTATTTTACAGTTATTTTCTTTACTTGACTTTTTATTTTAAATAAATTTTTATTTAATCGAATTTTAATTTAACAGAATTCTTGTTCAATCGAATTTTATGTGATTCGAATTTTTAAATGACAGAAATTTCAATTCACCGAATTTTAATTTGTCCTAATTATTATTTTCACGAATTTTTAATTCTTCTTTTATTTACAGCTTTTTTCTCAAATTTTTATTTAATAGAATTTTTAAGACGACGAATTTTTATTTGTCCGAAATTACAAATGGCTAAATAAACAATCGACAGAAAAATTTAAGTGCAATTTTTGAAAATTAACTACCTAATCACGATTTCCTTGATAATTTTTTTAATTTAATCAATTTTCAAAATTTGCAGCGAAATCTTTCTGTCGATTGTTTGTTCGGGCATTTTTAATTTCGGACAAATAAAAATTCGGCGTCTTAATAATTCTATTAATTAAAAATTTGTACAAAATAAAAATTCGGGCAAATTAAAATTCGGTGAATTGAAATTTCTGTTATTTAAAAATTCGAATCACATAAAATTCGATTTAATGAGAATTCTGTTAAATTAAAATTCAATTAAATGAAAATTCTTTCAAATAAAAAATCAAGTAATGAAAATGACTGTAAAATAAAAATTCGGTAGCTAAAAATTTTGTTATTTAAAAATTCGTGTAAAAAGAAAATCTATTAAATTTTAATTTGAAAAATGAAAATTCACCTAAAAAATAATTATTTCGAATAAAATTTTTTTAAAAATGAAAATTCTAATTAATGATTTTCATTGGATAATCATGCACCCCATTACAAAGTAGTGCAATTTTTATTCAATTATGTTTCACTTTTTTTTTTGACATTCTCTTTCTTCCTTTTTTTTCCAGGATCGTTCAATAGCAGTTTGGGACATGACATCACAAACGGAAATTGCATTGCGACGTGTATTAGTTGGTCATCGTGCTGCCGTTAATGTTGTTGATTTTGATGAAAAATATATAGTGTCGGCTAGTGGTGACAGAACTATCAAAGTTTGGAATACATCCACATGTGAATTTGTTCGAACGCTAAATGGACATAAGCGTGGAATAGCGTGTTTACAATATAGAGATCGTTTAGTGGTTAGTGGTAGCAGTGATAATACGATCAGACTATGGGATATTGAATGTGGTGCGTGCTTAAGAGTCCTCGAAGGTCATGAAGAACTTGTTCGATGCATTAGGTTTGACAGTAAACATATTGTCAGTGGAGCTTACGATGGGTCAGTTTTTTATTTTTCAAAAAAAAAAAAAAAAAATTTCACAACGTTTAATGATCAACGATTTTTCAATGTAAAATTCTTTGCTTCAAGGATATATTTCTTGCAATGTTTATTGATGAAAGAAAAAGAAAAATTATATAAAAACACATTTTTTTTTAGATAAAAATTTAAAAAATAATTTGTTTTCTAATTGTTAATTATAAATGTTGTGAACTTCAGCATCGTAAAATAAAAAAGTGTCTTGTTCATTTCATTTCAATTGCATTAATATTTTAATTTTTTTTTTTAACAGTAAAATTAAAGTCTGGGATTTAGTTGCTGCATTGGATCCTAGAGCCGTGGCAAGCACCTTGTGTCTTCGAACATTAGTGGTGAGATAACTTTTTTTTATTATTAATTACGAATTATTTTATTTTATTTAAGTAAACGGGATACAATTATCCTACTAAATTTCTGATTTACAAATCGACACATTTTTTTTTTTTTTTTTTTTTGACAATTTTTAGCACACAAATACGTACAACATTTTTGAAAATGTATCAAAATAATTAAATTTTTGAAAAACTATTAAAATTATTAAAAATGATTAATATGGCGAAGAATTTAAAATAAAAATTTACAAATACTTAAATTTTTCGAAACCTTAAAAAGGTGTACGCAGAAAATCTAAAATAAATAAATAAAATAAAAAAATACTTAAATTTTTCGAATAGATAAGATTTTTAGAATTAATTGAATTTCAGAAAATTTGAAATTGAAATTTTTTGTAAATTGTGAATTGCTGAAGATTTTTTTTTTTTTGCCAATTTTTATCAATAATTTAGTTTTAGAGAATTTTTAATTAAAAATTTTTTCAAATAATTGAAATTTTAGAAAATTAAAAAAAAATGTTTAATTAATTAAATTTTTGAAGTTTATTAGTTAAATTTTTTGTTAATGATTAAATTTTAAAAGATTTTCAATTGAAAACTTGGAAAATATTTTAAAGTAGTATAAAAAATTTTATAGGTATATACATTTTTTTTAAATTCTAATTTCGATGTTTGAATTTAGTAATTGCTTAAATAATTAAATTATTGAAGAAGTTTATTTCAGTTTTTGAAATTTAATATTAAAAGAGTTGCAATTAAAAGTTTTGACTTTTTTTATTTTTAAAAGATTTTAAACTAAGAATTTCAAAAATAATTCAATTATCGAATAATTTTTTCAAAATTATGAAATAATTAAAAATTTTATGAATAATAATTGAAATTATATTTTTGATAATAATTGTGTGAAAAAAAATTATACGAAACACTAGTTTGTCTAGCTGCAAAACGTAAAAAAAACCCAGAGCTTTCAATTTTGTTTTTAAAGTACATTATTTTTGTAAAATTAACTTCTTAGAATTATTTTTCTTTGTTTTATCATGTTTTTTTTCAATTATTTTTATAATTATTTTAAAATTTGTTCTAATAAAAAAGATTTGAATTAAAATTTTATATAGGATATAAAATAACATTTTTTGTTTTTTTTTTTGCTTACAGGAACACACTGGTCGCGTATTTCGACTTCAGTTTGACGAGTTCCAGATTGTTTCATCTTCTCATGATGACACAATTCTTATTTGGGATTTTTTGAATTTCAACCAAGATAATTCATCAAACAGTGACACAACGCCTCTTATTAATGATACACTTAATCTTTCCGACATTAGATCTCCCTCTCGTGAGTTTATTTTCCTCCAAATTATCAATTATTTATGAAAATATTGTTTTATTAGATTTTATTTTAATTTAATACTTTCTCTTTTTCTCTAGCAGCATTCGAGTGACGTTTCAACTCAATGTTTTATTTTCATTGTGATATAAATGTGAGTATAATATATTAAATTTAAAGAAAAAAAAACATTATTTAATTAAAACATATATTATTATGAATTTATTTACCGTCAACCGGGGTATATATATATATATACCCACAAAAGCGCTATTTTTTGTTTACTAAAAAATTGAATTAAAAAACAATTTTTTAAATAGTTTTTAAATTAAATTAAATTTTTATTAAAATTTAAAATTAAAAAGAAATTTTTTTAAATTATTGTGTTATATTGTGGACGTTCTTCTGAAGAGTTCCTATAAGTTAGGTGACAAAAAAAATTTTTTTTTGAAATTAATTGAACTTCAAGTGATTTTTAATTGAAATTTTTGGTGATGAAGAATTTATTAGAAATTACAAACAAAAATTGAATTTCAAAAGTTTCTAATTGAAAAATCCTTTCAGATAATTGAATTTTTGATGAATATTATAAAAATCATTAAAAATAATTAATAAAATAAAGATTTTAGGCCATTTTTTTTTCTCCAAGTAACAGTTAATTTATTTATTAATAAACAATAATTTTGGAAAAGTTGTAATTGAAATTATTAAATTTTAAAAAGTTTTAACAATTTATTTAAACGTATATTTTACCAAAGAAAAAAAAATGTGTTTTATTAATTTCAGACAACTGGTTAGTGAGTGAATCGAACACGTTCACCTATAATGTGTACAAAGGATGAAGAACCAGTGATTATTGTGAACTTCGTTAAATCAGGCACAATTAAAAAAAAAAAAAAAAAAAAACAAACAAACAAAAATCATTTGACTGACGACATTAATAAAATTTTTTAATTATTTGCCGTGAAAAGCATAATAACTAAACGACACATTGTTCAAAACATATTGACGAAGTTACATATATAAATATATACATATAATGACCTTTATTATTTCTTCTTTGCCTTGAAAAGCATAAGAATGAATTATAAATCATCTGTTAAACAAAATTTTTTTTTCTTTTTTTTTTTTTTTTTTTTTTGACGAAGTTACATAAATTTTTTCGAGCGCAGGCACGCCAACAAAAATAGAGAGAAACAGCCTGATGATGGACAATATAGTGAAAAAAAATACATATTAAGTACATCCCATGGATGTAGACTGTTGTCATTTCGCTTTAGCCATTATAAACTGGAATTCTTCTATATATACATCCCCCCACCCCCTATGACACAATAGGAGCTGACCATTTTTCCTATTAAGAAGAAAAAAAAGACTTAAATTACGCAACAAAAGAAAAAAAAAAAAAAAAAGAAAAAAAAAGTGGGAACGTTTTTAGGGAGGCTGGTTACACTTAATAAGATTTTTAGATGTATAATAGTAAATTAAAGATTTTTTATGTAATTAATTTATAAATAGTAAGAGGAAAAAAAAAATATCGTGAAAAGTGTCGTTCGTTTTGGAGTACTTATTTTCAGTGTGAGTGGAAAAAAAAGAACATTTTTTAATGCATGAAAGCATTTTTGCACTTATATAGTTTATTATTATGTCTCTGTGTATATTGACTCTATAAGTAAAATCAAAATTTTTTTTTTTTTTTTTTTTTTGACGAGAAACATTTGTCATTTTGCGTCATGAAATTTTAGTGTTGAATTTTGCGAATTTTCGGAAATTTTAATTACAATGAAAAAGCAAAAAAAAAAAAAATAAATAATAATAATACTTTTGCACAGCCTTGTCAAAAAAAAAAAAAAAAAAAAAAAACGCTGAACATATAAAAATGCTCTTTGTTTGTCAAATTTGTAAATAGCTTAAAGATTAATTGATAAAAATAATCATTTTGAAAATTTCATATTTTACATAATTATATTGTGAAACTGTTATTTATCGATAATACATTTATAAGTGCGATAGGTTATTAATAATTTCTTATTAGTAGTTAAAAAAATATTTCATTGAAAAAATTCGCAACTAAATCTTTTTTGGATTTTTTTGTTTTCAATTACTTTTTTTTTTTCTCTCTTTCTCTTATAATAAAATTATTTATTTTTTAAAATCATAAATTATGTTCTAATTTGTATATTGTATATATATATATTTTAAATGAAAAAAAAAATATGTGTAGAGAAGGCTTGAAAAAAAAAAAAATTTTGTAAACATATTCGACGAAGAGCATGTTATATTTATGAAATAAAAAAAAATTAATGCTACAGTTTTCGAGGCTATGTAAAGTAAATCAAGAGTTTGCGGATTTTAAAAATGAAATTGTATCCTTAAAAAAAATAATAATTTGCAACTCTCTCTTTACTTATGTCCTTTATCGAATGACGCTGCTGACGTTAATTGTATATTATAGTTTTTTTTTTTTTTTTTTTTTTTTTATTATTTTTTTTTAATTAATTAACACAGCTATGCATAATTTATCGTTCTGCAAACTGAAAGTGTGTATAAAAAAAGAACGATTTGAAAATTTTAGACGAAAAATTATAAATTAAATGTATGTGTCAGTGATATTCATGTAAGGCCACTTCTGTTTTTATATCCGAAAAAAAAGTAGCGATTTATTCATAATGTCATTCGTGCCGCAATGTCACGACCGCGATATTACATATATTATGCTAATTATTTACATCTTTAACTACAAAATGTGAGTGAGTAAAAAAAAAAAAAAAGAATAAAATAATAGAGATCACCCTGTGAAAATGAATGTTTCGAGTGATAGAGGTTCATAGAAATAAGACAATATGTACTCTTTAAAATATAGAAATGGCATAAGTGAATTCCAAATGTAAATTGTTACTTATTTACGTAGAGAGAGAGAATTATTTTATAAATCTATAAAAATTGTTTTTATTATTTAAATTTTTATTTAACAAAATTTTAGTCAATATTTTTTTTTTTAGAAGAATTTTTATTTGCCACAATTTTACTAGAATTATTTATGTATAAAAAGAAAATAACTGAAAATAAATTTTTCAAATTTTATAAAAGTATTTTCAAATCGAGGAAAATATTATAAAAAGTGAAATTTCCATATATAAGAAAAATAATATTAATAAACTTTTATAAAATTAAAAATAGTTATAAATTAAAATTTGCTAAAACGTATATTTGATTCATTAGATTCATTACCAAATAATACTAAATTTTATTAAATCCTTTATTAAGTTTATAAAAGTTTTTCTAAAGTTTAGAATTTCTTGTATATGAAAATTATGCTCTTTACCGTATTTTTTTTATAAAATATACTTTTATAAAATTTTATTAGGATTTTCTTTCTGTACGCATTTAAATAATTTTTCATATATTGCAGAATTTTTTACATAACCAAACTTTCATTTATCGACAAATTTTCTATTTGATCGAATTTTTCTTTCATCAAAAACAATAGCCGCATTTATTGAAAATTTATTTCTTCGAATTAACAGAAGTTAAAATCAGACATTTTAAGAATGCGGATTCATTAGTATTAACATTTTCAATCGGAATGTAACATTTTGAATAGGATTTTGTTTCAATGAATAATTTCCTATTAAATTCATAAAAAAAATTTATGAATCCCGAGAATTTTGAATCGGATCAAAAAATTTTAGGTTATGTTGTTATATTTCGCACAAAATTTAATAATTTTTAATAAACAAGATTTGTAAATAAATTATACGCTGGAGTGTTATGCTTAATGGTCAATGGTTTTAAAGCAAGTCCCTTGGATAGTTTGACATTTTGGCTTATACAGGGGACTTCGAATAAAGCGTAGTTTCATTTTTCATTCGGACCCTCAGAAATAATTAAATACACAATATGATTGGCTGTAAAACAATACAAGGGCATGTCACTAAAACGGTAAGGGACAATAATACCTTTTTATATAATACATTAAATTTTACTACTAAAATTTAAAATATAAGTAATAGTATATTTATTTAACATTATTATTAGATCAGTTTTAAAATAATTATTTATCAAAATTTATTTGTTTTTATTTTTACAAATTTAGTATTTGAAATTTACCGCTTAATGAATAGCCAATAGCTGTAGAGAATTTTGTAGTTGCGCATAACATTGTCGTGTGATTGGTTAAAATTTATGATAACAAAAGAAATAAAATGAAAATGGCGTTGTTGTTCTCTTGTTCTGCTCGTTCCCTAGTTCATGTTCATGTGTGAGTGAAAGCTGCGAAATGGCGGTGAAGCAGGTGAGTTTCTAAATCAAAATAATGTATACAATTAAATGATTTTAATAGTGATGCAAAAAATATTACTTAAATGTCAATGAAAATTATGAAAGTAATTTTTATTTAGATGTTATGATTAAAGAAGAAATGTACATTGTATGTAAATTTTTTCAACGGTTCCTAAAGCAAGTGTTGATTGTTAACACTGTGTTGATTCTTTCTCACATATATATATATGCATATAGGTGTTTAACAAGACTTCTCAGACGCAATGTCAATCAAAACATTTTGAATTAAAATATTTACTTTATAATTATTTTAATAAATATTGTATTTTAATTGATGTGAAAAAAAATTGTTTAAAATATTGAATTGAAGTTAACTTTTAATCTTTTGATAAGATCCCATTGTACAAGACATATAGAAGCCGATAATAGACAACTGCCGGATCGGTACATGTATACATATTTTCTTATTTTCAATATAGTTACGCGTGTTCATTTATATATTTTTTGGCTTAAATACTGAAAATTTCATAAGCACTATGTTGAACTAAAATTCTATTTGTTTATCAGTTTTTTTTTTTTTTTTTTTTTTTTCTTACAAAGTTCGTGATAATAGTTTTACTGCGGAAAAGAAATTGAAATCATCAATTATTTTATGTTTGTTAAGATATAAATTACATTTAATTGAAATTTCATTCTTTGTAAATAATTAATATTAGATTTTGATTTTATATTTTCTATCATGTATGTTATAAATAATTATTATTTTGTTTTTAAAGATTTTTATTCATCCAAGTGTTTATAACCTCTTTGCGCAAACCTCGTATAATGTTTCCAAAAGATTAAATATAGAAAAATTAATGTAAATTGAATATTAATTTGTTTAAAAGTTGGAATTTTTTTTTTTTAATATTAAAAAAAAAGAACAAACATTCTGAATGTTAATTTTTATAATTTAATGAAATTTTAAAAGTAATTTAATGGGTAAATTTGGTTAAATTGTTGTTTTTTTTTTTTTTTTTTTTTTTAATTAAGTGTTGTAAGCTAATCAATAATCTTTTCAGCGAAGGAATTCGTAAATCTCAAGGCTATAATACGGCTATGATGTTTATTTGGATATTGTAAAATTTTACTGACAATGAAAATTATTCCTCGTGTTGATCGATATTGCATCAAAAAAGATTAATTCGTTCCAATATAAAAGAAAAATAAAAAAAAATAAAAATGGATCATATACAGGAAGTACGACAATTAGAATTACTTTGTAAGCAGCTTTATGAGTCTCAAGACTCGGCGCATCGTGCCGAAGCTGAAAAAGCTCTTGTTGGTTTCCAAAATGCTCCCGATACACTTACAAAATGTCAGTTACTATTGGATCGTGGAGATTCGGCTTATGCCCAATTATTGGCAGCCACCACCTTGACAAAATTGGTTTCAAGGTCCGCATTAGGACTAAGTCTACAACAAAGACTTGATATAAGTAAGTTTTATTTTCATACGTAAAAATAATTTTTTTTTCGAAATCAGAAAAACAGTTTTTTTTTTTTTAAATTGAAATTTAATTATTTTCTTTTTTATATTTATACAGGAAACTACGTTTTAAACTATCTAGCAACTCAGCCAAAGTTGCCAAATTTTGTAATACAAGCGTTGGTCACACTTTTTGCACGAATATCAAAATTAGGATGGTTTGATTCAGATAAAGATGATTATATATTCAGAAATGTTGTCAATGATGTGACAAAATTTCTTCAGGTTTGGAAAATAATTTTTTTTTTTTTTTGTTTTATTTCAAATTTGAATTTTATTTTCAATTTGAAAATATAGTTTTCTATGGAACTATTTTTTTTAGGGTAGCCACAAGTTAGGGAAAATTTTTATCTTTCAGAGATATTTGGGAAATTGAACAAATTTACAGGAAAAGTCATTTGTTTCCTTTCTGCATGCGTAAAATTTTTTTTACAATTTTTTGCCTTTAGAAGGGATCACACTTGTTTTGATAATTTTTTTTTTTTATCTTTTTCACCTTTCTCATGAATTTTGCAAATGTAATATTTAAAAATTAATTAAATTTACAAAGTAAAAATATTGATTTAAACTTAAGAATGTTGAAAATATAATTTATTAGGTTAAAAAAAATTTTCTTAATATTGCTTGAGTTTATATTACTTTAGAGAACATAGAATTAAAGATTTTCATCTTCTTTTTATAAAAATCCAAGCTTGAATTTATTAAAATTTTTCATCGATAAAAAATTATTTACGCCAAATTTTAATAGATCTAAATTTAAATTTATTGAAATATTAGTTGATTAAAATTGTAATCGATCTAAATTTAAATTCATTCTAATTCTAATCAACTATAAATTTTTAATTTATCCAAATTTGTATCTGCTTAAATTTTAATTCATCCAAATTTAAAATTAATTAAATTTTATTCGATTCAAATGCTAATTCATAAAAATTTCAATTTAATCTAAATTTTAATTTAAATTTCAAGTGATTCTACTTTCTATCAATTCAAATTTTTAACGATGCTGAAGTACGCAACGTTTATGATAAACAATTTTTAAAGAAATAATTTTTTTAAATGAAAAATTCTATAATTTTTTGCCTAAAAAATATTTTTTTATAATTTGTTGTAGATAAATTGTAGAATTTTTCATTTTAAAAAATTATTTCTTTAAAAATCGTTTATCATAAACGTTGCGTACTTCAGCTTCGTAAATTTTTATTGATCAAAATAAAAAATTATTAATTAAAATTTCAATCACATGCAAATTCAATCGATTGAAATTTCAATTTAATATATAAAGATTAATCGATTTAAGTTTAAAACTATTCAAATTTCAATTTTTTTTCATTTTAATTGAGTTAGGTTTTAAATTATGAAAATTTTAATTTTTTCCAATGTCAATTGATTTAAGTTTCGATTTGTTTAAATTTTAATTTATTCAAATTTTGTTTGGTTAATGTTTCAAATAATCCAAATTAGAATTTGTTTAAATTTTTAAAGATTTAAGTTTTAAGTTATCTCAGGTCTCGGATTATACGACTTTTACTCACTTTTTTTCAAAAATACGAATTTTATCGTCTTATTTTAATAAGATGTGACTTTTTCGACTTTTTTTTAACATTTTTTGACAAAATTTTTAAACAAAATACACCTTATATAGTATACAATGCAGATCTTCTTTAGATCTTCTTTATTTTAATAATTTAACAAATTTTTAACTAAAATTATTCTCTAAATTCATTATTTTTAATTAAATTTAATTATTATTTATTTATTTTATTGTTATTTAATTATCTTAAATAACTTTTCAATTACAAATTTTATGAAATTCTATAATTATTTAATTTTTTTTTTTAAATCAGCAAATAAAATTATCAAAAATTTCAATCCAAAATCACTTGAAATTATTATTTCTACAATTTTTCTGCTAAAATTTTCTAATATTATGATACTCTTCCGAAATTCAATTATTTTTAATGATTTTTTTAATATTCTTCGATAATTCAATTCTTTGAAAGCATTTTTCAATTAAAAACTTTTGAAATTCAATTTTTGTTTATAATGCAAAGTTGTTATTGCCCGTTTGTATTAAATAAATAAATAAATAATTTTTAATAAATTCTTCATCACCAAAAATTTCAATTAAAAATCACTTTGAAGTTCAATTAATTTCAAAAATCTGAATTGTAAATCTTTGAAAATTCAATTACTTTTAAAAAATATTCTCTAAAATTATTTGATAAATTATTTTTAATTATATAAAATTTAATTATTGTCTGAAATTTAACAAAATCTTTTGAAATTTAATTATTTCTAAAAAATTTCAACCATAACTGTTCCAAAGTTTCAATTATTTTTAATAATATTTTAATATTTCTTTAAAAATTCAATTATTTAAAAAAGTTTCAAATAAAAACTCTAAAATTGAATTGTGGGCAGAATTTTTTTTTTCTACGTAATTAAAATTGAGGAATTAATAAAAATGTATTTAATATCTAATAACGTTAGTTTTTTAAAGTAAAATACTTATTAACTAATTAAATTTAATTAAAATAAAAAAAATCGACTATAACGACTTTTTTTGCGCCTTAAAGTCGATCCGAGGTCTGTTATCTGAATTTTAATTTATCAAAATTTTGATTGTTGGTCGTTTATAAATTGTATAAGATGGTTGGTGGGGGGGAGGGGTGTTTAGGAAAATCTTACGTAAGATAAACTTTTTTCTTGTTTAATGTTACTTGTATTTAAAAGTTGAATTTAAACACAAAATGCGCATCAAAGACTAACATTAAAGATTTATTAAAAATATACAAATAAATAACTTTAAAAAATATTACAATGACAAAGGGCTGGGGAGGGGGGAGTCGAAAATGTCTTACATAATTTATGGACAGCCTCTTTGTATATTTTTCAAATTATCCGATATTTAGTTTTTTTTAATTTTAATTAAATTAAATTTAAATTTATTCTAGTTCTAATTTGTCCTAATTTTAATTGATTTAGGTTTCAATTTAACCGATTTAAATTAGTCTAAATTTTAATTGATTTATATTTCAAATTATTTATCTGAATTTCAATTGGTTTAAATTTTAATTTATTAACGTTTAAAATTATCTTTATTTTAATTTATCCAAAATTTTGCTTGATTTATGTTTCAAATTTTAAATAATTTAAGTTTAAAGTTTTCATTGTTTAATTTCTCTAAGTTTTAATTGATTTTTCTTACAATTTGACTAAATTTTGATTGGTTATTTGATTATTTGATTATTTTTCAAATTATTCGAATTTCAATTTTTTTTTAAAATTCTAATTGATTATGATTTAAAATTATCTTTATTTCAATTTATTCAAATTTTAAATTATTTGAGTTTTAAGTTATCCAAAATTCAATTTACCCAAATTTTAAACTATTAATGCTTTAATCATTTTTGAAAAATTTTGAATAGATACAAATTAGTTATTTTTCATGTTAATTGCGTTTTTCATCTAATTTTTTTTCTCACTTTTTTTTTTTGTAAATATTTCACCTTTTCACTTATTTACAAGAAAAAAATGTTCCCTTCTCTAGTGAAAACAGTGAATTTAAAGACAATTTTATAAAAAAATTTTATTGACAGGGAAATTGAATAATTTATTCTTGTGGCAACTCTGTTTTTATAAAGTTTACTTTTTTGGTAAATTTATAATTTTTATTTAAAAATTAATTCATTGTAGGGTTCGGTTGAGCACTGTATGATTGGAGTACAATTATTGTCTCAATTAACATGTGAAATGAATCAAATATCAGAAGCTGATGCAAATAGGTCATTGACGAAGCACAGAAAAATTGCAAGCAGTTTTAGAGATACACAACTTTTTGAAATATTTAGATTGTCTTGCTCATTATTGGGCACTGCACGTGAAAATTGTAAAAGTTTAAATTTTAATGATGAAGCTCAGGTATAATTAAAATTTTATTAATATTCCATTTTTTTTTTTTTTTTTTTTATTTCATTGTTCCATGAATTAAGTTAATTATTTGTTTTTCTCTTTTTTTACAGCATGGATTAATGACTCAATTATTGAGACTTGCGCAAAATTGTTTAACATTTGATTTTATTGGTACATCAACGGATGAAAGTTCAGATGATTTATGCACTGTACAAATACCATCAAGTTGGCGGCCGGCATTTTTGGATTTTACAACATTAAAATTATTTTTCGATTTATATCACAGTTTACCGAATACATTGTCATCGTTGGCGCTTTCATGTTTAGTTCAAATTGCATCAGCGAGACGTAGTTTATTTTCAAATAGTGAGAGGGCAAAATTTTTAACACATTTAGTTAATGGAGTTAAACATATTTTAAGAAATCCCCAAGGTCTCAGCGATCCAGGAAATTATCATGAATTTTGTCGTTTATTGGCACGATTAAAGAGTAATTATCAACTTGGCGAATTGGTATTAGTTGAAAATTATCCCGAGGCAATTGAATTGATTGCAAAATTTACTGTTCAAAGTTTACAAATGTGGCAATTTGCACCAAATAGCGTTCATTATTTATTGAGTCTTTGGCAAAGAATGGTTGCATCAGTTCCATATGTAAAATCATCGGAACCACATTTATTGGAAACATATACGCCGGAAGTATCAAATGCATATATAACATCAAGATTAAAATCTGTCGCTGTTGTTGTTAGAGAGGGTTTAGAGGATCCTTTAGATGATTTAGGAATGGTACAACAACAATTGGAACAATTGTCAGTTATTGGAAGATGTGAATATCAAAAAACATGTACATTATTGGTTCAATTATTTGATCAGACTGCTAGAACTTATCAGGAATTAATGACACAATCTGTAACACCAACGCAACAAATTGATATTACTATTCAAGAGGGTCAATTAACATGGCTCGTTTATATTATTGGTTTGTATTATATATTCGTTTAATATTGTAGAATTTATTTTTAGTATTTTTTAAATTGTGTTTTTTTTTTTTTTCTTCTATTTTTTTAGGCAGTGCCATTGGAGGACGGGTTTCCTTTAATAGTAATGAAGAGCATGATGCGATGGATGGTGAATTAGTTTGTCGTGTTCTTCAATTAATGAATCTTACCGATTCAAGATTAGCTCAAGGCGGTTGTGAGAAACTCGAATTAGCTATGCTTAGTTTCTTCGAACAATTCCGTAAAATATATGTGAGTGATCAAATATTAAAGAATTCAAAAGTGTATAGAAGATTATCAGATGTCTTGGGACTCAGCGACGAGGCCATGGTTCTCAGTGTACTTATTAGGAAAATGTAATGTATTTCAATTTTATTATCTATTTTTTATATTTTAATTTTATATAATTTTTTTTTGTTCTCAATTTAACGTTCGTAATTTAAAATCGAAAAAAAATGTTCTCAAAAGAAGATTCCTCTTATTTTGAAGCGAAGATTCCTCTTATATATGGACACTAAATTATTCCTATCTAATTGAGAGGATTTTTATAGATTTTTATAGAATCTTATTCTGTTGAATATTAATTTTACAGAAATTCAATTTGATTGAAACGCCATCTCGTAAAATATTAATTTTGCAGAATTGTAATTTTAAAAAATCTTTATTTTGCAAAAAGAAGATTAGAAAGAATATTCATTTGCTCAAATATTACTGTTCCAAAAAATTTAAATGGCCGAAAATCAATTTCAGGGTGTCTAACGGTCAGGGAAATGTCAGGGAAATTTATGTAAATTTCTACAAAAATTTAAAGTTTTTGTGAATTAAAAAATTTTTTAATCTAAAAAAAACTTGAATGGTTTTTATTACCATTTGTTACTACCATTAAAAATTAATTTATTGTTAAATATGTCAGTAACCATATTTTTGTCCAAAGAAAGCAGAAATAAGGTTATTAATAAGTCAGGGAAAAATCAAAAAATGTCAGGGAGGAATCAGGGATAAGTCAGGGAATTTTTTTTCTCAATCCTTGTTAGACACGCTGAATTTGTCAGAAATAATTCGGCGGAACTTTCAAATTTGACCAATCAGAAATTATCAAGAAAATTGTAATTAATGAAATTTGAATTTTCCGACGAATTATTTCTGGAAAATTGATATTCGACTATTTTAATTTTCTGGAACATTAATATTCGAGTAAATGAATATTCTACAAAATTAAAATTCTCTTAAATTACAATTCTGTAAAATTAATATTCTACAGAATAAGATTCTATCAAATCATAAGTCTAAAAAATTTTTTAGAGCTTATTCATGCGTTCCAAAAAATTATTTTATTTAGAAAGTAGTAATTTCAATTTTAGACAAAAAAAACTTAAATCCAAAAAAAGAATTTTAATTAAAAATGAATAAATAAAAGTTCAGACCTTGGATTATACGACTTTTTCGACTTTTTTTTTACAAAATTTTCTTTTTTAGTATGCAATGCAGATCTTCTTTATTTCAATTATTTAACAAATTTTTAACTAAAATTTTTCGATAAATTAATTATTTTTCAATTAAAAATTTTATAAAATTTAACAATTGTTTACAATTTAAAAAAAAAAATTAAATTTAATTACCAAAAATTTCAATTTTAAAACCTTTTAAAAATTAATTATTTTTAAAATTTTCAATCTAAAATTTTTTCAAGTTAAAAAATTTCATTTATAACTTTTTCTAAATTCAATTATTTTTAATGATTTTTATGATATTCTTCGCAAATTCAATTATCTGAAAATAATTTGAAATTAGAAAATTTTAAAGTTTAAATAATGAATAAAATAAATAAATAATAAATAATAATAATGAATCCTATATATGAATTATATTTAAAAAAATTTTTTTTTTTTATTTCATATTTTTGTCTTTAAATTTTAATAAATTCTTCAGCAACAGAAAACATCAAAAAAAATTCAATTAAAAATCACTTGAATTCAATTATTTTCAAAAATTACAATAGTATATAATTTTTTGTACACAAGTTAAAATACATGCAACAATAATTAATTTTTTTGATTAATTATTTTATTAATAAATTTTATTTTTATTAATTTTTTTGATTTTAAATAATAATAAATGGAAAATACTGTTAATTAATTTTGTATTATATGTAATGCACAATTTTTAACATTGATTTGAATTTATCTTATTTTTTGTAGTAAAATTTGAATTTAGAAAATTTTGTATTTCTTTTGTATTTTAATTTCATAAATTAATTGGATTTTTCAGAATAACTAATTTGAAATACTGGGGAAGAAGTGAACAAATTATTTCAAAAACTCTACAACTTTTGAATGATTTATCAGTAGGATATAGTTGTGTCCGAAAACTTGTCAAACTTGAGGAAGTGCAGTTTATGTTGAATAATCATACGGTACAATTTTCGTCTAATAATTGTGATTGAAAAAATGAATTATTTTATTTAATTTAATAAAAATTTGTTTTTTTTTTTGTTCTTTCTGTTTTTAGAGTGAACATTTTCCATTCTTAGGAAATAATGTAGCAGTTACTGAAATGCGTTGTAGATCAATGTTTTATGCATCATTGGGTAGATTATTAATGGTTGAATTGGGCGAAGATGAAGAAAGATTCCATACGTTTATGCTGCCACTGACAGGTGTTAATTACAATTATTTAATATTTTATTATTTAACATTTTTTTTCTATATTAATTATTATCAAAAAGAGATTTTAATTATTTTGTCAAATTGTGGAAATTTATTATTAAATTAATTACTGTAATTTACAGCTGCCTTGGAAAGTTTAGGACAGTTAATGGGTGCAGCCAATACTCCAGTATTTGATGCTGAAGAAGCAAAAAAAGCACTTATTGGTATTGCAAGAGATCTTAAAGGACTTGCCTATGCCTTTAATACTAAATCATCCTATATGATGCTTTTCGATTGGATGTATCCTTTTTTGCTTGTTATTATAGAATCATTTTTCTATTTTTATTATTTTTTTTTTTCACTATTTGGTCAATTAACTGAAAATCATTTGAGAGCGTTTATTTATTTATTTATTGAAATACATCTCCGCGGTCCAAAAAAGGACCATAAATGGGTAACAAAATGTTTACAATTTTTTTTTTTAAATTGTCATCAATAATTCTCAAATTATTTTCATTGGATTGACTCTTTTTTTTTTATTTTTAAGGAACAATTTTTGCAATGTGATTTTTTTCTTTAACACTTTTTGTCTTTATACAGTTATCCGAATTACACACCAATTTTATTGCACGCAGTTGAACTTTGGCATCATGAACCTCAAGTGACAACTCCCGTCCTAAAATTATTTGCTGAATTAGTACAAAATCGAAGTCAACGATTACAATTTGATGCCTCGTCGCCAAATGGAATTTTACTTTTTCGCGAAGCTAGTAAAGTGATATGTAGTTATGGAAATCATATACTAAATGTCGAAGTACCGAAGGACCAAATATATCCTCTCAAGCTCAAGGGAATTAGTATATGCTTCAATATGTTGAAATTAGCATTGTGTGGAAGTTATGTGAATTTTGGTGTATTTAGGTTATATGGAGATGAAACTTTGGATAATGCTCTCAATACATTTGTGAAATTACTTCTTAGTATACCACAGAGTGACCTCTTGGTAAGTTAATTTAAACAGAAATTATTTTTTTTTAATTCAATTTTTTCAAAATTAACCCTTATTTTTCCTTTTTTAACCCCTTTTACCCCCCCCCCTTAAAAAATTTTGTTATTTTTATTTAAAAAGATGAGATTTTTTCCAATAAAAAAATATAAATATAAAAAATGGGACAACATTGTGTTGGCGAGAAAATATAAAAAACAGAGCAAAAAAATAGGTTTTTTCTTTTAAATTTTCTCTTAAATCAAATGTTGTCCCATTTTTATATTTATACAATTTTGTTGAAATAAGCATTATATTTCATAAAATCTTGAATAAGAATTATATTACAGTAGCAGTTGAATAATTATTATATGAATTGTAGGCATCAAATTGTGTATATAATTTTTTCAATGAAAAATGAATTAAAAAAATTCAATTTAAAAAAAAAAAAAAACAAAAAAATAATTAACGTTTCTATTTTTAGGATTATCCAAAATTATCAACAACTTATTACGTATTACTGGAGTGTTTAGCGCAGGATCATATGGCTTTTTTGTCAACTTTAGAGCCTAGGGTCTTTTTGTACATTCTTTCAAGTATCAGCGAAGGCCTCACAGCACTAGGTGCGCTAAAAGACTCCTACACAGGTCTGTGCGGCTGATTATAAATTATCTCTATTCTCTAAATCCTCATTATCGTGCCCATTTAGTAAACAGAAAAAAAAAAAGAAAAACACATCATAAGCTAAAAAACGTTTTCAAAGCAAACCACATATCAAATTTTTTGTTTTATATTAGGGTGAATTCAAACACAGTTCATAATAATAATTTTTTTTTTTCAATTTATTGATTACTTTAGAGGTGAGATTTTTTTTTCAAGTTATTTAATTTTGATTCTAGATAAACGATTTTAGATTTTTGATAAAGAAATTTTTTCATTTAAAGTCGATTTTTGATTAAAATTAACATCAAAGAAAAAAAGTCGAAAATGGTACATATTTTTTTTTTAAATTTCAAAAATTAAAAAACTATTTTTGAAAAAACATCTTTAATTTTTTTTTCTAAATTTTACTAAATGTTTTTGTATTAAAGTTACATAACTTTTAAGAAAGTGCAGAAATTTTAAGAATTCTATCATATATTTGTTGATATAAAAAATGTTTTTTAAATATTTGTTGTAATTGTTGAATTAGTTTAATGAACTGAAGTGAAATCCACCATATATAATACCACAATATTTCATAAATAATAATTAATAGTTTCAATCGTTTGTTTTTTACTATTTTAATGATTGCAAAACATTTAATAAAACACTGTTATAATTATTATGTTTATCATAATGTGCAGTTTATTAGAGTAAATAGTTTCATTTTTTTTATCATGTGTTGTGTGCAATTCTTATCATTGTTTGGAACGTAAATGAAGATTTTTTTTTTTTTGAAAATTTATTTTTGAAGAAACATGTCTTGAGAAGCAGGCACAAGAGGATTTGAGTGTATAGAGTCTAGACCCTAGATAATACAAATAATAATTTATTTTTGCAGTTTACCATCATGTGACAAGTACAAATCTCATGCTTGTAAGCACTTCATTTTTTTCATCAGTTTTTTTTTTCTCTTATTGAAATGAAAGTATTCTTCTCATGTGTACTCATTTTTTATTGAATGATATTTATTAAAAATCGATAATTCTTTGATAAATATTAGGGGTCTAGCACGCATAGTCAGCCGCACAGCTGAAAAACTACTAATAGATTAACCATTTTTTTTTAAATTAACAAAATAATATATAATGTATCAATGTATTTTTTTTTTTTTTTGTTAAAATGCATTTAAAGAATTTTTTTTTATCGCTTATTACATTCTGTTAATTATATTTCATTATGGCGCTTTTCATATTTTACATTTTCATATTTTATATATATATATATTTTTTTAGTTTTATATTAATTATTTTATAGTTAATTAATTTAGCTTAAACTGTTTCGTTAAAGAATATTTTGCATGATTTTCTATTTTTTAAAATCATTAAAAAAAAAAGAGTAAGTACGTTTTGTTTTTTTTTTAAATTTATCAAAATTATGTTTTATTTTTTATTCTTCAGTGGATTTATTAATTTTTCAGTTAATTAGTGGTAAATTCTTTTTTTTTTTTTAATATAAAATGTTGCTTCTTTTTCAGACACTATGGTTTGTACTGGTTGTTGCTCTACTTTAGATCATATAGTTACATATTTGTTCAAACAGCTTTATCAGAAAGGTATGTTAAATTTTGTATTATACATGAATTTTAAATGACGATTATAGTTTTTGAATTTTAATAATTTTTTAATTTATTCTTTGATTGTAGATTTGAAAATTTTTAAATAATAATAAAGACTATTATTAATTCTAGCGGGAGTTTATCCGGGTAAAAAAAATTCTGTAGTTCAAGGAAGTGGAGAACTCTTTTTACAAGTACTGAAACAACATCCTGAGATTCTTCAACAAATACTGAGTACTGTTCTCAATGTGATAATGTTTGAAGATTGTAGAAATCAATGGAGTATGTCAAGGCCTCTATTAGGTTTAATACTTTTAAATGAAGAGGTAAATATATTTATTTTTATCATAAATAATTAAATTTAGTTTCTTTTTGCAATATTAAAATTTCAAATACACAAAAAATATTTAAAGTAGAAAAAAATTCAGCTTTTTAAATTTAAATTTTTGTGCAAAACTTAATTTTATTTTAATAATTTTTGAATACTTTGTCTAATTCTCCAAATTATGATTCAAATTCTATTTTTTGTGTCAATTTCGTACACAGGGAAAAGATATAATTATTTTATAAAATTGATCGGTATTTTTATTTAAAAAAAAAATTGAAATTTTGAATTTTTTTAAAACTAATAATATATAAGTGTTCATCATGATGAGGAAGCTAAATGGTCAATAAATAAACAACTTTTTAACTTGTTATTTTTTTAAATACGAACATGAAAATTATATTAGGCTGAAAATGATATAAAATAAAATTATGTAATTTTTCAATATAAAAAAATTGTGTAGAAACCCTATAAATTTTCAATGAAAAATATCAATTTATTTTAATACATGTGGTAATATTTTTTTTTATTACAGTATTTCAATCAATTGAGAGAGAATATTATAAGAAGTCAGCCAGTTGATAAACAGGCAGCAATGGCTCAATGGTTTGAAAATTTAATGGATGGAATCGAGAGAAATCTACTCACAAAAAATAGAGACAGGTAATTATATCATTTATTTATTTATATTTTTAAACTGGAATGATGATTTTAAAAAAAAAATCAAAAAAATACGTTTTTTTTATTATATATATTTTTTTTTAATTACGTAACATTTTTCAAAAAGTACCTATATTTTTGAGTCGTTTATTTCTTAATAAATACTTAAACGATAAATTTAATAATTACAAGTAACAGGAAAAATTTATATTTTTATCAAAGAAAATAACAGTTTTTAATTAAAAATAATATATTTAATAATGATAAATTAATTTGTACAAAATTAAAAGTTAAGCCTCGGATTATACGACTATTTCATATTTTTTAACATTTTTCGACTTATTTTAAGATAATTGAATTTGTGAAGAATTTTATCAAAATTATTAAAAATAATTAATTTAGAGAAGAATTTTAATTAAAAATTTGTTTAAAAATTTAAATAAAGACGTATTTTGTTTAAATATTTTATAAGAAAAAGTGGAAAAAGTCGCATCGTATTAAACTATTTTTCAATTAAAAATTTCATAAAATACAATAATTGTTTAAAATTAAAAAAAAAAAAATTAGCAAGTTTGAAACATTACAAAGTTTTTTTTAGATTTTATTTTTTCAAAATTTTTAAATATTTTTTAAATTGCTCAATACTTTTTTAAAATATAATTAATAATTTTCAGTTAATTTAATTTTCTTTCTGATTACATAATTAATTTTTATTAATTATCAATTAATTACATTTTTTGAAAAAAAAACATAAATTCAAAATTTCCATTTGCAATGAAATATTTATAGAAAATACAAAAAAAAAAATATTTAGCAAAACTAATTTTTTTGTAATTTTAAAGATTATAAAAAATCATCGAACATTGACTTTATCAAAAATATTTATTTCTAAAATTTTAATATTTATATTTTAAAATTTTTACTGAAAAATTTTATTTTTTTTTACTATCAATTTACAACTAAAATGAGCTTACTCATTATAAACATTCTGTCAATAAGAAAATGCATTCGTCAATAATATCTTTTATCCCAATAATCTCTGCCTTTTCGTATACAGTATACATAAGTGACAAAGAATATTGTAATCATAATTGACACAACATAATTAATTGTTAATTATTGTTCGTCACTTTTTCGATAGATTTTTTCTTGGATTTTCGTTGTTGGTACCGTTAACAATCGAACTAATAGTTTTACAAGTTTATTAAATTTAAAAATTAACTTATCTAAATTATTTTTGCTGTATTAACTAATTATGAGCTGTCTTAACTAAAAAATCACTATTTACATAATATTAAACTGATTTTTCTCTGTGTATAAATAAATAATAACTTGAAAAATTAGAAATATACCTATTATTAATTTATTACTCCACGGATGCAGAATTATTATTAATATTATTATTATTATTTTAAAATAACCACTGCTTGCGCGCGTGTAATTATGTTAGTAAAAAATATAAAATTTTGAATTGTCATAAATTTAACAAAAAAACTACATCAATTTAAATTTGCAGGAAAATTTATTTTAAATTTAAAATCGTTTTTAAATCAATTATTTAAAAACAAATTAATTTAAAAAAAAAAAATTTTATTTAAAAAATCTGTAAAACTTGATTATTTTTGCCTGAAATTTTTTTTTAAATAAAATTTTGAAAATTTGTCTTACAATTAGTTTGTTTCTGAAATATTTGAAATCAATTTTCTTGATAATATTAATTATAGAATTATTTTCATTACAAAATTAATAAAATGAATTTAATATCTAATAACATTAGTTATTTAAAGTAAAATATTTATTAATCAATTAAATTTTGTTAAAATAAAGAAAAATCGACTTTTTTTGTACCTCAAAGTCAATCCGAGGCCTGTAACTTAGAATATACAAAATTGAATATTAAATATATAATTTAAAAAAAAGGCTTAAAATATTTTAATAGTAACGACTCTTTGAATTAAATAAAAGGAGTCCTGTATTTTATATTAAATTTATTCATTTATTTAATTATTATTTTTTTTTTTTTGCTCTTCTCTTTATAGGTTTACACAAAATTTATCAATGTTCCGAAGGGAAATAAATGACTCCTTAAAGGGGCCAAATATGACTGCTGTCAATTCAGGAATGGTAGCAGCGCCAGTCAGCATGGATAATTGGGGATAAAAAAAGGACTAGGCATTTGCGTTTTTTTTTCAAAAAAAAAAAAAAAAGCGGGGAGTGTTGATTAGAGGGATGGGTCTATTTTAACAAAGAAAACATATATGATTTTAAATTAAAAATTTTTTTTTTGAGAGAGCAGTCATTTTTTAAATACCAAATTCAGGAAAAAAATTTAAAAAAATAAAAAAAAAATTTATATACACATCAGTGATAAGATAAAATACAATAATAATATAAATTAATAAATTGAAATAAAATGGATGTGTAAATTTTTTGAAAATATAATGAAAAAAAAAAAAAAAAAAAAATGCATTCAATAATAAGAGTATAAATTTATAATGCATGTAGGATGTAGTTTTTTGTAATAAGTATCGAAAATGAAATATGATATTTTTAATCATTGCTGCTTTAATATTTTATCCTTTTTTTTTCTTTAGAAAATAAAATTTGAACAAAAAAAAAACAGCCTTTAAACATTCATATCATGGTCTCAATGAGATAATGAATCGAAAATGGGCTTAACCCTTTGTATAGCATTCCCTGCAATGCAAAGCCTTCTCCTTATTATTTCTTTTAGGCCCATTTCCGGTCAGAAATGTATTGTATATTAATGTTTTTTTTTTTTTTTTAAAAAAAAAATGATATTGCACTCTTTGGTCAATATTTTGCTAGTTTTAGCTATTTTTTTTCTACCAGTGAGTATAGAATTATTTTAAATCATTATTATTATCGTTGATACGATGACCTATAGTAGTGATATTATTTTTTCTCATTATTATTATTTTTTTTTTTTAAGTTCTTGCCTGCCAAATGCTTGTATGCGTGTGTGCGCGCGAGAGTGATGCTATGACTTTATGATATTCTGGAAATGTTTTTAGGCGAATATAAAATAAAAAAAAAAATAATTCAAAGATTTTAAATAAAGTCTGTTGTCTGACTTCCTCTTCCATTAATAATTTTTTTTTTTTTTTTAATTAATGTATTTGATATATATTATCAAATTTTATATAACATTTTAAGTATTTGAATTTTCCCGGAAAATTTGAAACGATATCTATCGGCGAAAATGTGTATTAAATGAACATGGCGCGAATTTGTTTTGTCGTCGTCGCTTGTGTTCGTTTTATCATCAAATTGAGAAACGAATTTATTTACAATTCAATTTGAATAATTATTTTCACAATGTTAATGTTTTCTTAACAATGTTAAAGAGCATTTTGTTTGAGAAATTCAAGAGAGAAAATATTTTACAATTTATGTTAAGAAAGTGATTTGTTTATATTGTGTGATTAAAATAAAAGTGAGGTTAGCCGGTGAAACGCGCACGAAAATGGAGAAAATGATTGAAATAAATAAGACAAGCTGCAAAGAACTTTTAGTGTGGCGAATGTTTCTTGCAATTGTATTAAGTATTGTTTTTCAATTCTTTCTAATGAGTAGCATTATTATTGTGACAAATTTAAATCCCATTAATCCATTTCTTTGGATGCTAAACACGTGGAATGTGATATTTAGTTTTCGAATGTGGTGGTATTTTTTGCTATTGGCAACGGTCACATTTCTTCAAGGATTTATGTGCAGTAAAGATTATTTAAATCCACCGAAATATTTATCGAATCGATTTTTTATATTCTGCAGTATGTTGGGACCGAGAAATGTTTTACTTTGTACATTATATATTGTTGTTGGTGGAATTTTGACATGGTTGCATTTATCGCTTAAAGGTGGACCTTACAGTTCACTTACGAAAAATTGCAATAACATTGAAGGCTTATGTCTTGTGGAAGAATATTTCTTTTTACTTCTTGGTGAGTAATGTAGAAAAAAAAAATTAGGGTTTCTATAAATTTTTTTATTTTCAAAATTCAATGTTTTTTTATGACTTAACGAGAAACGATTTAAAAACAAAGTAATATTTTGGATGAAATAAAAATTTGGAGAAATAAAAATTTAGTTACATAAAAATTCGTTCAAAAAAAAATTCCATAAAATAATATGGTTAATTATTTTTTTTTATACTTTTTGTTTATGAATTCAATAATTTTTATTTCTTTAAATTCTTTTACAAATTCAATTATCTTGAACTATTTTTCAGTTAAAAATTTTGTGAAATTTAACAATTGTTTACAATTTTTAAAAAATCAAATAAAATTACCAAAAATTTCAATTTAAAAACCTTTAAAATTTTCCATCAAAAACTTTCTGAAATTTCATAATTTCACTTATAACTCTTCCGAAATTCAATTATTTTTAATGATTTTTATAATATTCGTCGAAAATTCAATTATCTAATTCTTAAACAACAGAAATCACCAAAAAAATTCTTCATCAACTGAAAAATCACCAAAAATTTTAAATATCTCTTAAAGTTCAATTAATTTCAAAAATCTAAATTGTAAATCTTTGAAAATTCAATTACTTTTTAAAAAATATTATCTAAAATTATTTAATAAATTCTGTTCAATTTAATAAAATTTCATTATTGTCTGAAATTTAAAAAAATATTTTGAAATTTACAGGCCTCGGATTATACGACTTTTTTCGACTTATTTTACTAAGAAGCGAATTTTTCGACTTCTTTTTTTTTTTTTTACAAAATTTTTAATCAAAATACATCTTTTTTATTATACAATGTAGATCTTATTATCATTATTTTTAATAATTTAAAAATATTTCTTTAAAAATTAAATTATTTAAAAAAGCTTCAACTTAATTATTTTCCGCAAATTTTTTTTTTTTTACCATTAAAACTAAAAACTATGCAAAAATTTTAAATTCAAATTATTTGCATGAATTAGACTTTAAAAAAATTTTTAAATGGAACTTTAATTTTTTTTTTTTTAGAAATTTGTCCTATTTAATTAAAATTTTAAAAATTTGTCTTAGTTCGGTTTTGAAATATTCGAAATAAATTTTCTTGATAAGTAATATTCGTGTAGAATTATTCTTATTGAGGAATGAAAAAATAAATTAAATAATATACAATAACAGTAGAGATTTAAAGTAAAATTTTTTTTTTTTTTAATATAAATTCTCGATCCGAGGCATGAATTTAATTATTTCTAAAAATTTCAACTATAACTCTTTCAAAGTTCAATTATTTAAAAATAATTTTAAATATTTCTTTAAAAATTCAATTATTTAAATTCCATGTATTGTAGAAATTCTGATTTTAATTTTGTTTAGTTGAAAACAAAATTGGATAATATCTAATTCAGAGAATTTTTTTTTTTTCAGGTGGTTTTTGGAGTGGATTATATTTTTTTACAAAATATAATATTTACGCTCTACAATTTCTACAGTTCTCAATAATTCCACAAACAAAATTTTCCCAAATCAAAAGAGCAATACATGAATTATTACCGGGAGCAATGTCAAGTGCTATTTGGCCAACTCTTTATTTCGTATGTTTTTACTGTTTATTTGGAGCATGGTGTAGAACATTTTTAATGTATCTCATTCCATTTTCACTTGAGAATGAGCCATTGGATAAAATTTCAAATCTACTAAATATATCGTTAATTTTTTATTTATGGCTTTATTGTTCTCTATTTGTTGTTATGGCAAATACAATGCATCTAATGTTTCAAGCATCATTAACCGAATGGATTTCATTTGATATTGAACGTCACACTGTCTTTAATAATGAAAAACCAAATATTACACTTGCCGAAGTTTTAACAATGGAAGATATACCAATTATTCGACAATTAGGATATTTGGATCTTGTGACACTAGCCCAAAAGGATAAATCGAGAAGAGCAATTTTATTTACATTAAGTAAACCTGGCGGTCATCCTTATAATTGGAATCAAATTATTGAAAATTGTCTTCTTGCTATTAATGATTATACCATTGAATTGAATTCAATATTTTCAATTAAAGATGTGGAAAAAAAATTAGAAACTGAATCATCAACGGTGACATCGAATATTTATCAAAAATCATATCAATATCATATGAGAAGTTTAGTATCGCCTATTACAAAATTATCAACAGAAACACCATCTGAATCAACAGTCAGCAATGAACAATTTTTTATTCGCCTTTACAAAAATTATAAACAAAATTTGATTACCTATTTATTTTCAAAACCATTAATTTGTTTTATATTTGGTGAACAATTGGATAGTAAAGCGCGTCATGTTTTATCGAAAAGTCAACCAATTATTTGGGCAGCCGATGCTATTTCATCATTGGCAGTTGCATCATTAACTGAAGATCCCTATGGAATTGTACTCAAAGATTTGCCAAGAATTATTGAAACATTATTGAGTGTTAAAAAATCACTTGATAAATTACAAAAAGCCAGTTTAGTTATGAGAAAACCCGTGAGTAATGACAAAATACTGAGACAATGTTTAACGTCTTTACGTAGTGCTACAAGACGAAGTATTTATAGAATTGTTACCACATTTCAAGATTTTATTGATGATTTAAAACTATCGCCTGAAACTGTTGATCAGATGCATTCATTTTTCACATATCGGGAATAATAACAATAATTTAAGGATATTAATCTTTAAATGTGTGTAACAAACTTGATGGATATTCTAAAAGAGACATTATAGTGAATATAAATATAAACATTTAGAATATTTAATGCTATTTTTCTAAAAAAAAAAAAAAAAGAAAAAAAAAAGGTGATAAAATCTTTGTTTACTTTTCTTAATATCAAAAAAATTCAAAAAATTTACAGCAGAAATATTGATGAAATATTTTTTTCTTTTTTTTTGGCTCTAAAATTGAAAGAAAAAACCGTTTAATTTTTAGTTTGAAAACAAATGAAATTGTATAATTTTTTTTTCCTATGTGTTTTCCTTTTTTTTTTTTTTTGTGTGTGTGTCTATAGGTAATTGTATTAAGTTTTCAATCAAAGAACAAAATATTTTCACTTTTCAATAAAAATGATGAAAATTGACATTTTTTTTATTGTATCAAAATTATTCAGAAATATCAATGGTATTTTGCATGAAAATAAAATGTTTATGTAAGAGAACATTTTTGAAAGATAGAATATTTTATCAATTTTTTTTTTGGAACAAAATATTTAATATTAATATTTATTGATTATTAATTAATATTATAATTATAATAATATAATTATTAATTATATTAATTTTTAATATTTAATTAATTTTAATATTTTTTAAAGTTCTAAAATTAACTTTTTTAAGTAAACAAATTCCAAATTTAATTTTTCCGAAATAAAGCAAAATATCTTTGTCATATTATATTAGTTTAAAAAAAAAAAAATTTGCAAAATCTCAAATTTTTGAAGCATTGACCCATAAATAAGAGATATAAATTAAACATAAATATTTACAATGATTTTCTCAAATTAAAAAATATATTTTTTAAAAGTTTATCAATTTTTATTCAAATTTAAAAAAATATTTAATTATTGAAATCAATATTTTGTAAGTTTCATTAGAATTACTTTCATATAAAATTATTTTAATTTATATTGTTTGATTTTGAAAAAAAAAATTGGTTTAAAAATGTTTTTTTAAACTAAAAATAGTATTTGAAGACTGTTTTTTTCAAACAAAACTTTTATGGAAAATTTACCAAAAAAAAAAAAGTAGAAAATTTATTTGAAATTTCGAAAAATAGATGAAATAAACGAAAAGTAAAAACGATGTAACAAGAGAAATTTCTCTGAGTTAATATAATAATTGAAATTAAAAGTAATTGAATTAAAAAAAAATTCAATTATCAAATAATTAAATTCTTAATGAATCAATTTTTATAAATTTCTTTTTTAAAACAATTGAAATTTTTCCATAATTGAAATGTTAAATTGATTTTTTTTTGTTAAGAAATTAAACAATAATATAATTAATTCTTATTAATTAATATTAGTGTTATTTAATTTTTAAATTTTTAAAAAATGAATAACAGATAATAATATAGTAATTTCGTACTAGTGGGAAAGACAAAATTGTAAAACTTTGCAAAAAGTACACAATGGGAAAATAAAATTTATCTATCTATATAGTTAAGATATCTTAACTATATGTATAAAAAAAAAAAATATATATATATATATATATATATATATATATATATATATATATATAGTAATTTCGATTTTTTAAAATACTTCTGTTTTTATTTTAATATTTTCTCTTTTACATTATTGTTTTATATCAATATCAATAATTTAAATTTAGTGATTTCAATTTCCGGTGGTAGATGACGCTCAAAGGCGCCAATTTTAAATCAAAATATTTGTTTTGGATTTAAATTCTCTCTCTTCCGAAATTTTCACATTTTAAAAATTAAATATTTAAAATTTTAAACAAAAAAAAAGTATAAAATTAAGATAATATTGTAGGTAAGATAATTTAATGATTATTATTTTCTAATAATATTGAAGTTTCAGTTAATTGGTTTTTTGTTATGGTAGCCCTGCCGATACTGGCGCAATGCACGCACAACGATGGCAATTGGTATAACTTTCTAAATTTTGCAACACTGTAAACACTTTTTGTGATAAGTAAACTATTGTATTAATTATTTATTTATTACATATTATTTTTTATCATCAAATTTCATTTTCAAAAGATTCGCTTTTCAAAATAGGTATAGTACAATTAATTTTTATTTTATTCTGCATGTTTTCGAGGTTATACACATTTATGCGTTATAAAGACGCTTTACAATTATATATACAAATGCAACAATGCAGTTTTTTTTTACGATTTGCAAAATAATCAAAAAAATTATATTCTTTTAACATGTTATATCAAATAATATCTGTGTCTATGAGTGTTCAAATATAGGTTTCATTGTTTGTATATACACAAACTCTTTTTTGAAAAAAAAAATTCACGAAGATTTCTTGTTAGACATAACCTATAAATGCTTTATTTGATAAAATCTATTGTTATTTTAAATACCTTTTAATTATTTAACAAAAAATGTAACTAATAGTCATAAATTGCAGCAAAAAAAAATTTTTTTAAATAGTTTATAGCAAAGAATTGTTTTTACATAATTTAAATTATGTAATGTATTTTGTAAAAAAAATTATAAATACGTTTTAAAATTTTAAGTTTATATATATATATATATATATTTTTTAATGGCAATAAATAATTTAATTTTATATTAGAAGCCCAATTATGGAAATAAAAGAATTAGATAGTTCTACGACACATGCAATAGTTCAAATGTCAGAGACTGATGCTCTTGGAAAAAGCATTCGTCTCGTCCCTTGTTTATGGATCGCAAAAACTGACGACAAATGGGTTTGCTTATATCCACAAAAAAAAGATAGCTCTCAAGTTGAAAGTATGGTCAAAGGTAGTGTTCCACCTCGTGCAGATTTTGACCGTTACGACATTAAAATTGTAAAAGAAGCAAGTACGTTCTTTTATATTTTTCAGAGTCTACAAATTATAACTTTATTAACTATTATTATTATTATTATTATTATTATAAATAGTTTATTAATCAACAATTTGACGGTTAATAATAAAAAGCATATATTATTATTATTATTATTATTATTATTATTATTATTATTAATATTTAAATTAATTAATTTATCATCTTTATTAATCAATTAATATTTATAAAAATACAATTTTTTAAAAGTAAAATATAAGCCAAAAGTTTTGAACGTTCAAATGAACGAAATATTTTTTTTAATCTATAAATTATTAAAAATTATGATGACAATGTCAAATAAAATAGTAAATTACATAATTATTAAATTAATAACTTCTTTTTAGATATTTAAAATAATATTTTGTAATAAAATTCGTACATAAAGAAATTGCAAAAAAAAAAAATTCGTTCATTTAAACGTTCAAAACTTTCGGCTCATCAGAAAAATAGCAAAAATATTAAATAAAATTTATTATTATTATTATTATTATTATTTGTTTGTATTAAAATTCCAGAAAGTTTTGAAGAAGGTGAAAGGAAATTAAATCGAATTTTTGATATTGATAACGCTGAAACTTCTTCAGATTATTTTGCTAATGAAAGTAATTCAAGGAAAAGGTTTAGAAATTGCGAATACGACGAATCGAATGAACCATTTTATGCTGAAGGTAAAAATTACAATTAATTTTTTCTAACAAAATGAAAAATATATTTATAATTAATTATATTTTTTTTTTCTATTAATTCATAGACAACTCGGTATATAATCTTAATAGTCCAATGAGGATTACACCAGACTTTTCATCAACTAAAGAAAATACTGAGAAAACTGAAAACAATGCCACTGGTGATTTTTCGTATTCCATTATTATTATTATTATTATTATTATTATTATTATTATTATTATTAACGCCTATTTATTTTTTACAATAATTGATAATTTGCTAATATTTCATTAATAATGGTAATTATTACAATTTAATTTTATTTTCTTGAATTTTAATTTTAGATTCTTGGGAAGAATTTTTGGATAAAAAACTAGAGGCAATTGAGACGAGAATAATAACTAAAATTGAATCAGTAAAACGTAGTATTTCACATGAATTGAATAAAAAGACGGAGGAAATTTTAAATCATTTGACATCAAATACTGAAGCTTCAATTTTAGAAAATAATGACACAAACCATGCGATTGGTATTAGATTTCCCGTGGAAAATATGGAACAATTTGCTAAATTATCGCAAACAATATCACAAGATAGTGAAAAGGAGAAGAATATGGTTAGAATAATAATTATTGAAATACACTTAATTATTTTATTTTTATTAATTTAATATTTGAGCAACAAATTTTCAAAAGCTGATAAATCCATTTTTCAAAAAAAAAAAAAAAAAAAAAAAAAAAATGGAGATAAATATAAATTTAATATTTTAAGGACTTCACAAATTGTCCTGTCACTGTTAAATTTAAGAAAAAAAAAACAATGAATTTTCAATTTAAAAACTTTTTGAAATGACTTATAATTTTTATGTTTTTTATTAGAAAAAATTACAAAAATTTGTAAATCACTAAATTACGATAAAGTTTAATTAAAAATAAAACGTCTTGATTATAAAAACATTGTCACAGAAATAAACAATTATAAATTTTTTATTTTAAAAGTAACTGTAGTGATAATGTGAGAAAAATCATTTGTTTCAATTTCTCAAAATAAGAAAATAAGGATTTATCAGGTTTTGTAAACTTACTGCTCATTTATAATTTAATATGAAATTTATTTTTTAATCTATTTTGTTTGATTTAAATGTTTTATTTTTCAGAAAGTATTTTTATATAGAGCACAACGTGGTTGCAGTAGTTTAAAAGGTAGCCTTTCGAAAATGCTTTCATCAGCAATGACAAAAGCAGTACAATTAAAATTTAGTGGACAGGGTCGAAAAGTTAAAGGCAAAGGAAAGGAGAATTTCAGTGCAACACCTTTATTTCAATGCATAGACGGTATGATTGTTTTTTTTTTTTTTTTTTATTTATTTAATTCATTCATTTATTAAATTCATCAATGAATGATTCTCCGCATAGCGCACAATTTCATGTCCCTCATATTTTTTTTTAAGAAATTAGTTGCACATGTGGTAATAAATCCAACGTGAAATATTAATTTTGATATTTACAAATAGAAGCAAATAGGCGTTTTTATTTATAATTTAATTATATATTGATTGAAAAAGATAAACAGGGTGGTCATCGAACTTTGAAACACCTTAAAAATCGGGAAAACAATGTGAATTTAGTTACACCTTTGAAAGAACTGTGAATTCGCCTTGAACTTTTTAATTCAAACTTGAAATTTTATTTAAATATTAACATTTTTATTTTATTTTAAATTCAGGGAAATTTTACGTTAAACCGATATTTTTCTTAATTACGTTTAAATCAAGTTTTATTATTTTTTAATAATTATATGAAGGTGGCAAAAGGGGTAAAATGAAAAAAATTTTACGGGCGTTGAAAACTACCTGAAAAGTCCTTCAGAAAATCCTATTTACAAATTAAAATTTATAAAGTTTTATTATAGTTATAAAAATTAAAAACTATTAATTAAAATTTCAACTCCCACTAATTTATATAATTTTTTCTTTAATAAGCTAATATTTTAGAGATTTGTTACTCTCGCATATAGAACAACAATTTACCAAAGTATTAAGACAATTCAATAACTTTTAATTTAAAGTGACTATTTTCTCAGAGAATAACTCATAAGTGAAAAATTATTAAAATTAAACTTAAGAATTTTAAAATATATTTCAAAAATATATCGTAGCGATCTCGGGGAATTTTCAAGGAAATTTTATTACCTTTATATCTGCCTCTCAAACTTTTTGTTTACATTTAAGTACAAAAGATATCTTAAATTAAAGGTCATAATAATAATGGGCGGATTAAAAATCCGAAAAATAATTAAATCAGTTGCAATTCGAGTATTGACCTGTTTACAATGTTATATGTAAATTTTGTAATTTCCAAATAAAAATTTAGCTGTATTTTTTTTTTTGTTCCTGGAGTGTACAAAATTCTTAAAATCGCGATCGACTAAATTTTTAGAAGAAAATATTTTATTTTTTAATTTAATTTAAAAACATGGTTTTCAGTTGGTTTGAAAAATTTTAAATCGCGTGTGTTTCCGGCAGATTTTATTTTCCGAAAAATATATGATGCATTTGTTACAGGCAAAAGTTAGAGGTAACATTTTTATTAATAATAATTACATGCAATTGTTTTTGTACTAAAAAATTTGAAAATACATTAATTTTTTTTTTTTTTTTTACAAAAAGTTTAGTACCATTTTCAAACTCACAAAATTGTTTAAAAGTATTAATTATATTTTACATTTAAAGTACTAGGGTAAGTGTACCAATTACGGCGCATTCATGAAAAATAACTATTATTACTATTATATTTAATATAACTGTTGCCAAATGATTAAAAAAAAATTATTTCCATCTTTTTTTGATACAATTACTTATAAAGATGCACATTTAAACAATTATTAATTTAATTATTTGAGATCAAATTTTTTTCCGCGCCGCAATTGAAACATTTTTAAGATTTCCATTTGCTCTAATTTCGGCGGGCAAAGTATCTTCAAAATACACATAAATTTTGGTCACCGAAATTGATACACCGAAACTGATACAAACGCGTCGCAATAAAAAATTACGGTATTAGTTTTAATTTCTCATATTTGTTTAAATAATCGATTTTTATAAAGTTAAAATTTTTTTTTAATATCTTAATAACATAAGCTTTTAGTTTAATAAGTCTTAAATTGAGTTTATAAAATAGAAACGTCGAATTTTCTATTTCAAAGGTGTTTTGACTCGAATCGCGCCGCAATTAGTACATTTTGAAATAATTTGATTTACAGTCACTGCTAAAGGTTATTGAACATTAACTATAGGAAAAATATTTTTCATATCTGGAAAAATTTGGGAATTTTTTTTTTTTTTTTAAGTTTCAGTGGTCACCTTATCAAAAATCATTTCTCACAAGTATCATATCGTCGAATAACACAGAATAATTACGCAGTTATTAATTGATTATAATTAACAAATTTACGATTGATTAACGATTGAAAAAAAAATATATTTTTCACTCAAAAAATAATAATTAATTTTTTGCCTACAATTTTTTTTTTTTGCCAAAAATTATTGATCAAGAAACGATTGCAACAAATTTTTTAGATAAAAAAAATAATAATTTGCATAGAAAAATAGTTTTTTAAATATTTTTTTTTTATATTTAAATATTTTTAAATATATTTTTTCTTATTCTTATTGTAAAAAAAAATAAGAGATACGTATTTTTTTTATAGTCAAATTTTTGAGTTACGAATTTTCAAAATTTTGTTGAGTCAAAAGTCATGCCTCGGATTATACGACTTTTTTTTTACAAAATTTTTTAAACAAAATACAATTTTTCTCTAAGTTAATTATTTTAAATAATTTAAATAATAAATTCTTCACAAATTCATTAAAAATTTAAAGAAATTTAACAATTATTTACAATATTAAAAAAAAAAAATTAGCAAATAAAATTACCAAAAATTTCAAATTCAAAATCTTTTAAAATTTTCCATCTAAAAACTTTCTAAAATTTAATAATTTTAACTATAACTCTTTTGATATATAATTTTTTTAACTTATTTTTTTTTGTTTTTTTTTTTGATTTTCTTCAAAAATTCAATTATTTGAAAGCCTTTTTTTAATTATTAAAAACTTTTGAAATTCAATTTTTGTCGGTAATTTCTAATAAATTCATTATCAACAGAAATCACAAAAAATTTCAATTAAAAATCACTTGAAGTTTAAAATTCAAATATGAATATTGTAAATCTTTGAAAATTTAATTACTTATAAAAAATGTTATTTAAAATTATTTTTATAAAATATTTTCAATTCGGTTAAATTTAATTATTTCTAAAAATTTAAACTATAACTCTTCCATAGTTTAATTATTTTAATATTTTTTTTTAAAAATCTAATTATTTAAAAAAATTTAAATAAAAACTCTAAAATTGAATTGTTTTCAGAATTTTTTTTTTTTTTTTAGAAATTTCTCCTACTTAATTGTACTTGTGGAATTAATAAATTGGATTTAATATCTAATAACATTAGTTATTTGCGTGGAATCGAATATGTTTTATTTTTAAATATAAATTATTTTAAATTTAAATAAATTGTTAAAATTATGATAACAGAATTGACAAAGAATTATTAATAATAATTATTACAGAAAATAATTAATAACAATAAATGAATTAAATCTTTTTAGATTATTTTTAATTATTTAATTATACAATTGAAGACGATTTCGTTAATATTTGATTAAGACATTAAAAGATATCAATTATTTAATTTAATATTTGAAAGATATATAAATTAAATTTGATTTAATTTAAGAAAATAATTTGAATTACATATTAGATCTCAAAAAATTTGTAAATTTTTTTTGTAAATCTGTTCATAATTGAAATTTTTTTATTTTTTCATAAAAATTTTGTCGAAAATTTAAATTAGAATAATTTTCATTAATCAGACAAGAAGAGCTTTTTTTTATTATTATTATTACATTTTATTTATTTATAATTTACGGGCAATAAACAATTGGGAAATTTTTATTATTTAGTTGGGAATTCCACAAAAAATCGGAACTTCACTCAACAATTTGTACAGTAAAACGTACAAATGCCTTCCACTTGAAGTTGCTGCTAGAAAATGAATATTTGCGGTTAGTCTTGTATTTTCGTACTCTTTGCCGACAGATCTGCCAAATGATCAGGTGTCATCAATGGTCATCACTAGAAAAGTTTGTTTTGATCGGTTGGTTTTTTCGATAGCGGCTTTTGTAAATTCTTCAATGTTTTAGAAATAATTCCGAGTGTTAAAATAATTAAATGTGTTCGGGAATTAAATGTTAAAGTGATTGATAAAAGGATTATGCAATCAATTGCAGGTGAGTAACACTTTCAAACAACATGTAGGTTAGAAAAATGTAAACAATAACACAAATGATGTTTTTATATTTGGAAAATAAAACCAATAATTCTCTTATGATTTCAGTATTTTCCCCGTCAATTAAATGTGGAACTTTGTTTACATACTGAAATAATTATTTTTTATCACTAATTTTTAATTATTTGTCTTTTACAGTAAAACTGTGATTTAGACAATTTTGTTAAAAACAGGCTTTTTTCTTTTCGATTTTAAGATTTCTTTTTCCTCTCATTTTATTTTTTCTTCGGTTTTTACTCGTCGATTTACGGAAATCAGATTTATAACGACAATTTTGTGTTTTGAATTTTTAGTTATTATACGAAAGACAGCAACTACGAACAGAGGAGACATTATAAAGAGGAATTCAACAATCTTTGTCCGGAATATAAACAATTATAAAAATACGTTAACAGTAAAAGTCGATATTATAAGTGGCAGCAGCAATATAATATAGTGAAAGCTCAGGGGAATTTTCAAGAACTCAAGGTAATTGTTTGAAATATTTTTTGCTAAATAGATAAAGTAAAATATTTTTTATATTTTGTTTGAGCCAATTTATATTTCCCCCAGAGTCCTTGTCGGATATTTATTAGTAAAATTTGATAATTCATGGAAATAATTTTTGTAAAATCACTCAATTTCTAATTCATCTTTTAGAGCTTACTTATAATTTATAAGAACTTACAAGCAGAAAAAAACGTAAAATTTGTGTTTGATGCACAAAAACATTTTATATAAATTTTCTTGATTTTTTTCGATTTTTAACGGTATTGGATTCTTAAAAAAGATGAAAAAAATTCAAACTTCGGGAATTATTTAAAGTTAACAGATTTACCTTCGTTTCAAAACTAATTTAAAAGACAATGAAAAATTGTAGATTTCTTTGTAAATTATTACAGATTTATGAATTTTGTTTCTCCCAATTGAATTTTAATTCTCAAAAAGTATATTACAAAATTTTTTACATTTCAGATAAAAATAAAAATTTTTAAAGATTACAATATGAATAACGATCCGGTCTTCAAGCAACGTAACACGAGACACGATTATTTGCATGGAAAATTGACTCACTTAAAGAATTTGGTCGAAGAATTTGATACGAAGCATTTCGGTGTTAATGGTAACAAGACAAGATTTTGAAGAAGAAAAATATTTGTTTAATTGAAAATTGTTGGATAGAAAATTAATTTGGCTTAATATATAAAATATGAAAAAAATTTAATAAACATTAATAGATTTAAAGAAGTTAATTTCAGAAATAAATAAAAAAAGAACAATAAACGAAATTAAACACAAGAAAATACTAAACAAAAATAATGTTACAAATAAATTTCCTTTCATTAAAGAAAATATTAATATATTGATAATATATTTTTTTAAGTTAGAAAAATGTTAATTATTTTTAATAAAAATTTGATTAACAAAATTAATCTGGTTTCAATTTATAATGACGATTAAATAAAAAATGTCTCGTGCCTCTAATAATTATATTGATTTTTTATTGAAGTTATAATGAATAGTAACAATAATTAATAATAACAATTAATTTTAATAAATTTTAATTTCTTTAATTTAATTAATTTGAAAAAAATATAATGAATTTTTCTTAATTTTGGGGTGGCGCAACGTTTGTATGAGGTTATTAATGACGGTTGTCCACTCCTCCCTCGTGAAACTTACATCCCCTTTCTTCTTTCACTGAACGTAAGCTATAAAAAGAAATTTTTTGATAATTATCATTATTATCACAAGTGGAAAGATTCAATGGAACGTGCTAATTAGAAATTCCGTTAGAATTTCGATTTTCATTAGAAGTTTTTTCCTTTTTTTGTAAAAAGTATTTGTTTTTTACATAATTATATTGAAATTTCTCTTTTCAATAACCTTTCGACAATTGCCAATAAGAATTCACATGAAAATTTCAAAGAGCACTTTTCTATAAATCTATCCAGGTAAGTAGATTTAGAAATTTAAGGTAATTTTTTACCTATAGTTAGAGACGAACATAACATTAAATTTTTTATCAAATTTTATATCACTTTTGACCTAAAGGTCAATAAGATCAAGGGGAAAAACAAGTTCGCAGATAGTTCAAAAATTTTGAACAAAGTGTTTTTTTCGCCTCCAATACTTTGCCATACATGGCCCATAGTTCGACCATAGTCCAAAAATTTTGAAAAAAGTGTTTTCCTCCCCTCCCATACTTTGCCATACTTGGTCCATAGTTCAAAAATTTTGAGAAAAGTGTTTTTCTCGCCTCCCATACTCCGCCATACTTGGCCCATAGTTCGCCCACAGTTCAAAAATTTTGAGAAAAGTGTTTTTCTCGCCTCCTATACTCCGCCATACTTGGCCCATAGTTCGCCCATAGTTAAAAAATTTTGAGAAAAGTATTTTTCTCGCCTCCCATACTCCGCCATACTTGGCCCATAGTTCGCCCATAGTCCAAAAATTTTGAAAAACGTGTTTTTCTCGCCTCCCATACTCCGCCATACTTGGCCCATAGTTCGCCCATAGTTCAAAAAATTGGAAAAAAGTGTTTTCCTCCCCTCCCATACTTTGCCATACTTGGCCCATAGTTCGCCTATAGTCCAAAAATTTTGAAAAACGTGTTTTTCTCGCCTCCAATACTCCGCCATACTTGGCCCATAGTTCGCCCATAGTTCAAAAATTTAGACAAAAGTGTTTTCCTCCCCTCCCATACTTTGCCATACTTGGCCCATTGTTCGCCCATAGTTCAAAAATTTTGAGAAAAGTGTTTTTCTCGCCTCCAATACTCCGCCATGCTTGGCCCACAGTTCGCCCATAGTTCAAAAATTTAGAAAAAAGTGTTTTCCTCCCATCCCATAGTTTGCCATACTTGGCCTACAGATTGCCCATAGTTTACAAAAGTTTGAGAAAAGTGATTTTCTCGCCTCCCATACTCTGCCATACTTGACCCATAGTTCGCCCATAGTTCAAAAAAAAAGAAAAAAGTGTTTTCCTCCCCTCCCATACTTTGCCATACTTGGCCCATAGTTCGCCTATAGTCCAAAAATTTTGAAAAACGTGTTTTTCTCGCCTCCCATACACCGCCATACTTGGCCCATTGTTCGCCCATAGTTCAAAAATTTTGAGAAAAGTGTTTTTCTCGCCTCCAATACTCCGCCATGCTTGGCCCATAGTTCGCCCATAGTTCAAAAATTTAGAAAAAAGTGTTATCCTCCCATCCCATAGTTTGCCATACTTTGCCCATAGATTGCCCATAGTTTACAAAAGCTTGAGAAAAGTGATTTTCACGCCTCCCATACTCTGCCCTACTTGACCCATAGTTCGCCCATGGTTCAAAAATTTTGAAAAAAGTTTATTTCTCGCTGCCCATACTCCGCCATATTTGGCCCACACTTCGCCCATAGTTCAAAAAGTTTGAAATAAGTGTTTTTCTCGCCTCCCATAGTTTGCCAATACTTGGCCCATAGTTCGCCCATACTTCAAAAAATTGGAAAAAAGTGTATTTCTCGCTTCCCATACTCCGCCATACTTGGCCCATAGTTCGCCTATAGTCCAAAAATTTTGAAAAACGTGTTTTTCTCGCCTCCCATACTCCGCCATACTTGACCCATTGTTCGCCCATAGTTCAAAAATTTTGAGAAAATTGTTTTTCTCGCCTCCAATACTCCGCCATACTTGGCCCATAGTTAGCCCATAGTTCAAAAATTTATAAAAAAGTGTTTTCCTCCCATCCCATAGTTTGCCATACTTGGCCCATAGATTGCCCATAGTTTACAAAAGTTTGAGAAAAGTGATTTTCTCGCCTCCCATACTCTGCCATACTTGACCCATAGTTCGCCCATGGTTCAAAAATTTTGAAAAAAGTTTATTTCTCGCTGCCCATACTCCGCCATATTTGGCCCACACTTCGCCCATAGTTCAAAAATTTTGAAATAAGTGTTTTTCTCGCCTCCCATAGTTTGCCAATACTTGGCCCATAGTTCGCCCATACTTCAAAAATTTTAAAAAAAGTGTATTTCTCGCTTCCCATACTCCGCCATACTTGGCACATAGTTCGCCCATAGCCCAAAAATTTTGAAAAACGTGTCTTTCTCGCCTCCCACACTCTGCCATACTTGGCCCATAGTTCGCCCATAGTTCAAAAAGTTTGAAAAAAGTCTTTTTCTCTCCTCCCATACTCTGCCATACTTGACCCATAGTTCGCCCATGGTTCAAAAATTTTGAAAAAAGTTTATTTCTCGCTGCCCATACTCCGCCATATTTGGGCCACACTTCGCCCATAGTTCAAAAAGTTTGAAATAAGTGTTTTTCTCGCCTCCCATAGTTTGCCATACTTGGCCCATAGTTCGCCAATACTTCAAAAAATTGGAAAAAAGTGTATTTCTCGCTTCCCGTACTCCGCCATACTTGGCCCATAGTTCGCCTATAGTCCAAAAATTTTGAAAAACGTGTTTTTCTCGCCTCCCATACTCCGCCATACCTGGCCCATAGTTCGCCCATAGTTCAAAAAAATGGAAAAAAGTGTTTTCCTCCCCTCCCATACTTTACCATACTTGGCCCATAGTTCGCCCATAGTTCAAAAATTTAGACAAAAGTGTTTTCCTCCCCTCCCATACTTTGCCATACTTGGCCCATAGTTTGCCCATAGTTCACAAAAGTTTGAGAAAAGCCATTTTCTCGCCTCCAATACTCCGCCATGCTTGGTCCATAGTTCGCCCATAGTTCAAAAATTTAGCAAAAAGTGTTTTCCTCCCATCCCATCCTTTGCCATACTTGGTCCATAGTTAGCCCATAGTTCAAAAATTTAGAAAAAAGTATTTTCCTCGCCTCTCATACTCCACCATACTTGGCCCACACTTCGCCACATAGTTCAGAAATTTGGAAAAAAGTGTTTTCCTGCCCTCCCATACTTTGCCATACTTGGCCCATAATTTGCCCATAGTTCAAAAATTTAGAAAAAAGTGTTTTCCTCCCCTCCCATCCTTTGCCATACTTGGTCCATAGTTAGCCCATAGTTCAAAAAGTTTGAAAAAAGTGTTTTTCTCTCCTCCCATACTCTGCCATACTTGACCCATAGTTCGCCCATGGTTCAAAAATTTTGAAAAAAGTTTATTTCTCGCTGCCCATACTCCGCCATATTTGGCACATAGTTCGCCCACAGTTCAGAAATTGAAAAAAGTGTTTTCCTCCCCTCCCATACTTTGCCATACTTGGCCCATAGTTCGCCCATAGTCCAAAAATTTTGAAAAACGAGCTTTCTCGCCTCCCATAGTTTGCCATACTTGGCCCATAGTTCGCCCATAGTTCAAAAAGTTTGAAAAAAGTGTTTTTCTCGCCTCCCATACTCCGCCATACTTGGCCCATAGTTCGCCCATAGTTCAAAAAGTTTGAAAAAAGTGTTTTTCCCGCCTCCCATACTCCGCCATACTTGGCCCATAGTTCGCCCATAGTTAAAGAATTTTGAGAAAAGTGTTTTTCTCCCCTCCAATACTCCGCCATACTTGGCCCATAGTTCAAAAATTTAGAAAAAAGTGTTTTCCTCCCCTCCTATAGTTTGCCATACTTGGCTCATAGTTTGCCCATAGTTCAGAAAAGTTTGAGAAAAGTGATATTCTCGCCTCCGATACTCCGCCATACTTGGCCCATATTTCGCCCACAGTTCAGAAATTTGGAAAAAAGTGTTTTCCTCCCCTCCCATACTTTGCCATACTTGGCCCATAGTTCGCCCATACTTCAAAAATTTTGAAAAAAGTGTTTTTCCCGCTTCCCATAGTTTGCTATACTTGGCCCATAGTTCGCCCATATTTCAAACATTTTTTTTTAAAAAAGTGTTTTTCTCGCCTCCCATACTCCGCCATACTTGACCCATAGTTCGCCCATAGTTCAAAAAGTTTGAAAAAAGTGTTTTTCTCGCCTCCCATACTCCGCCATACTTGGCCCATAGTTCGCCCATAGTTCAAGAATTTTGAGAAAAGTGTTTTTCTCCCCTCCAATACTCCGCCATACTTGGCCCATAGTTCAAAAATTTAGAAAAATGTGTTTTCCTCCCCTCCCATAGTTTGCCATACTTGGCCCATAGTTTGCCCATAGTTCAGAAAAGTTTGCGAAAAGTGATATTCTCGCCTCCGATACTCCGCCATACTTGGCCCACACTTCGCCCATAGTTCAAAAATTTTGAAAAAAGTGTATTTCTCGCTGCCCATACTCCGCCATATTTGGCCCACACTTCGCCCATAGTTCAAAAAATTGGAAAATAGTGTTTTCCTCGGCTCCAATACTTTGCCATACTTGGCCCATAGTTCGCCCACAGTTC